CTCGCCGCCGCCGCCCGACCAGAACAAGACCCGAGCGTACGTCGCAAGCCTCAAAGAGCCCATAAACCACCATAGACGAGGACCTACATTGGCACAGGCAGCGGCCCTGGCCTGGAGCAGGAGAAAAAACGTAGTAGTTTTAAGTCAGTAAGCGTCTGACACTCCCTTTCGTTACAGCCTGGGAGGAGAAGGCATTAGATAAATTTCCCTAGTCAAAAAAAAACTATCCAAACTTTTCGCAGCTCCCGAATACAAATTACAAACAAAATAAATAAAAAAATGTCTTCCAACATTTAAATCATAAAATTTTAAATAATTGACAACACTTTTAGAGAAGAAACAATATAACAAGTAAGGAAGTAAGGTGGACAACACACTGAGTGGTCCTTAAAAGTCGGTAAAGTTTGTCAGTTGTCGATAGTTGTGAGCCAGGAGAGCGGGCGACCCGCGGCGCGGCGCGTGACCTCACGACATCGGAAACATCACGTCTCATACTTCACTACAACTTATTGGAAAAACCAAAACGGGATAAAATATTATTGGTATATACTATACATTTTTATGTAAATAGGTATACATTTAACGTCGTCGTGGCCTGGAGGTTAGGTAAATCACTTCCCATGCATGAGAGTGCAGTGCAGTTGATATAACATAATCAAGTGATACATTCACTCATTCGCCGATCTATCTTTTAAAAACCTATATTTTGTTGAAGGTATTTCATTGGTTTTATTTCTATGGAACAAAATGGCGATCGAATTAAAAAAAAAACACAAAACAACAGAAAAAACAATCGGATACAATAAAAATGTAAATAAATTCAATGATGTGTAGTACTTTGTTCCTCGTACTGCTTTATTGCCCCTCTCCTCACGAGTATGTTCCGTGAAAATGGCAGGAGATGTATGAAAAATTCATAATAACAGCTAATTATGCAGCTGAGCGCTAGAAATCATCAGCATGCACCATGTTCGCTAACTCGCGGCTTATCCCGGGCTAATGTATGCAAGTGCAGGGCGCGCGCACACTTGCAAATTGCCGGCTTATTAGAGCCGCGCCGCGCACACTTAGACACGCAACCTGCTAATAATGCTTTTATTTAAGACGACAGAAGTACACACTAGTGCCTGCATATATTCATGGCTTGTGGCCGCCTACTAAGGTGATTCACCTCAGGTTTTTACTTCGATGAAAACTTCGTTGAGAGAAAAGTTTTTCGTATATATTTTCTTGTGTATCATGTATTTTTCTGAAACGAAGAGATCTCTTAACTTTTCTCTCTCTCTCTCTCTCTCTCTTTGAAACATTGTGGTTTAGGATTAAGGTTGCCAACCATACTTTATAATAACGTATCCTACTTTATTTTTGGTAACTATATTTTATACTTTACATACAAATAAAGTATGCAAAAATACTTTATTGTAAACCTTCACTGTGGTGCGTAAAACAAAATACTCATTATGAGTACTTAACGATGCATAATTGCTGAACAAAATATTTAAAACGGATAATGGAAACAATTTTTAATTATTCAACGAAATGCTGAAAATTATGAGTAATTCTGATAGCGACACACAAGTGACTCTTAAAAAGCTAAAATAAAGTAACAAAACATTTACAAAAATATAAACCTGATTGGGAAAAACAATACAACTGGCTAACAAGTGATCTTCAAAATAAATGTAATGCAAAATGCAAAATCTGCGGCGTGAATTTTACAATCAGTTCAGCTGGCATTGGACACAAGAAAAGCACACAAAAATACGTTTTTAAAGCAAAAAAAAACATAAAATTTGAAATATACTTTTTTTTCTTCCTAATACTTTATTTTTTTCCTACCCAAACCAGTTTTATACGGTTTATTTGTCAAAAAAAGTTGGCAACCCTATTTAGGATCCCGCTTCTCGTGTATTAAGGTGTAGTTTCGAAACATGGCAAAAGTCACAATGAGTGTGACTTTTTCTACTTTCTAAAAGCATTGAGGCACCACTGACAAACGGTGAATGATAATCTTATATATAACTTTGAAATCTCCAACCTGCCTTGAGCAAGCATACCGGTTAATGCTCAAACCTTCGCCGCGTGAGAAGAAGCAGGCCTTCACTCAGTAGTCAGCACTTATAAGTCTGATGATGTGGTACGATATTATCCTTATACAACTTTCAACAGATGACATAATTCTCCTCTTTTACTTTAATGTCTATAGCACTTAAGCTACTGACGGAAGTTCTTTGTGACTGTGATACCTTCTTCTTTTAATTTCTGAAATTAATACCTAAGTAGCATTGATGTAGTTAGACGTGGGCTGTCGTATTTACTTTTACTTGTGATAAATAAATTGACAAGAATTCACCGCAACTCTTTTCGTGCAAATGTGAGTGCCATGTTCAAGATCATAAAGGATTTAAAATTTCGTGATAGATCCCATCATTTGTTCTTTTTTTTAAACTTGTCTCTGCATTGTTCTCACATATATAGGTACAATAATGTGTACTAAACAATGTATTCGTAAAATTGTAAAATTAATGTTATTTTTTAAAAGAGAAATATGAAGTTTCTTTCTCTTTCTTCTCAATTTGAATCTACAATTTGGAACGAGCACCTAGCTTTACTGACGAACAGACTGACAGACTACTATTCTATATCGAAGTTTCAAAATTACCTATTTATGGTTTAGTTGGAATAAATGATTGTGACTTGACTTAGGGTTAGAAAATCATTCAACGACTTGTTAGGGTGGTGAAACTGTCTGATTAAAAGCTAAACCGTTCCTCCTCATGATCAAAGCCGGACAGCGGTACATCACTGCATTTGCACCTGCAACCCCAGCTGGACATCAGCCCCAGTGTGACCCGTCTGCAATGATATAAGGCGCTCACGGAACGCTCGGCTTTTCTGGACCCTTGTCGGGCGGCGAGGTTACCTTAGTAATCGTCCTTGAGATCGTATAGCAATTTCCGATATCCGAACCGTCTCCTACGGTTACTAGGGCATGGGACGACCGTTCCCTCACGCGCTCCATCTCCTCTTCAGCGAGCATTACGAAGTTACATAAAGACTTATGTTTTTGCAATTTTGAATCAGTAAATGCTTTCACCGAGGTCGCCACCGCCAATCGCTTCCATAAGCGGTCCTCAGCACAAGCAGGGACACGGCCACCGTGTGGTCCGAGTTGTCTCTCATTGACAACACCGAGGCCGTTCCTCCCGCTGAATCCAAAACAGGGATTTCTTGAGACTTCTGTGACCGATAAGCCACTGCGTCAGGCGGAAGATGAGGATGCCATGAAACCTCTCAAGCCATTCCTCAAAGAGGGGTCTTACCGCTGCTATAACAGTGAGCTCGGCCTTCGGTTAAGTAGTTACTTACACTAAGTCATTTTCAGTGCATTTAGTAAGTGTTAAAAGTATGAAGGTAGGTAATATGAAAAGTAATGAAAATATATTTTAATTAAACACTGTTAAACGCGTTGTAAGTATTGTCTTCGCCTTGTTTTTTTACACACATATGCCTATGTTTGTGTTTTTATGGATTTGTAAACGCAAAAAATGATAATTTACGCTACATAAGTACTTAGAAATAACTGACAATATTCAGTCAATATTAATATTCCGGAGACAATATCCGAGTCTTTAAAAAATTTTGAAAAACTACAAGAACTACGCTTTTTTCGTAGCACTGTCGAGATTAAATTGACGTTTAAGAGGAGAAACCGAGGGCCGGGCACGCTGTTATATACTAAGACCTAGTCTTAGCGCTGCTATACATATAACCGCTTTGAGGAGTAGTTTGAATACGATGTCATCTTCACCTTCCGCCTGACGCAAGTGCTTACCGAAGACGGCAGCTTCCATAGTTTCCTGTTTCGAATCTGGCAGGAGGAAACGCCCGAGTGCCGTGTTTGTGAGGACCCGCCAAAAGACAGGGTGGAGCATACGGTGGCGGTGTGCCGTGCTTGGGCTGACCACTGCCGTGTCCCCAGAGAAGTGATAGGCGGCGTCGACATCTCGCGCCCGCCATTAGTTGAGGCCATGGTACCCATGCAGCGAGAGAAACTGGGAAGCAGTGTTCAGTTCAATGCGTAGCGTTTCACGCGCCTTATAGAGCCAATATACCACCACTATCGAGCCCTATACGGCTGGCCGGGATTACTGGACCACCGCAATAAGGCACCGCGGCCTCGGTCTAGAGCAGGAGAAGGAACGGGTGAGTTTTTAGTCAGTAAAAGCCTGACACTCCCTCTCGCCCCACTCTAAGCAGGAGAAGTCATGTGAAGATATTCCTATCACAAAAAGAAGACGAGAATAAAATATATTATGAATTAAAACTAAATAATAATAATATACATAACACCAAATGCTACCAAATTCACGTCATTAATTGAAGCTCTCACACAAGTTTGGCTGTCAAGTATATGATTTACATAATAATACTCTTATAAAGAATGAAAAATTAAATATTACGATCCAGAATGACTATGCTACGCGCCTCGTAACCGTGGCTACGAAAGAGCTACGCATTGTCTAGTCTACACAAACAATTACGTTGTAGCGTTATTTCCTTTTTAATTTCTATGATTATAATGAATCCATATGAATCCAGAATGAAGAATAAGAATAATTTTCCCATATTTTATTTTACAATTAACATGCTACATAATTATAAAAATTAATCTTTCAGTCACCCATCCCAATAGAAACAGATAATGTAGACGGATGTAAAGTAAACGTGACTTGTTTATCCAACAGTTTATTTTAGTTTTAGACTTCTTAGAACGAATGTTGTGTTTATAAAGTTTAGGTTAGGTTAACTAGTCCTAAGAGAAGTTACATGATTACTTTATCTAACTTCAAAAAAACTTTCTATACAAACTCTTTCACTTTTTCTTCTCACTCACTCATCAATAAATAAAACAAATTCGACAAGGCGCCATTTCTTATTAACGTCTAAGAATTTGTTAGACTGTAATTACCTAATAACAATATAAAAAAGATACATACTTATTACACCGGCCGCGCCGGGCCTCAGCACGTCGCCGAGCAGATCTTTGATAAGGAACGACTTGTGACTGTCCTGCATCCTAGAATCCATCCTCACACGTACAATGACTAGATTTATAATCTGTTCCCGCAATCAATTCACATCACAGCACTTTATTAATAAGTTTAATAACTTTACAACACTAGTGCTTGTCCATTTAATATTACCTATATTTAAATAGTTAAGCTAAAGTAATAAAATTATTCAAATTGTTATTGCAATAATTATCAGTAGTGGCCCAGTAAGCAGCCTGCACTTTCCCGCGCATTCAAGATAACTGTCCGCCATATTCGCAAAATAGTCGTTGAAACGCGAAAATCTTTTCATTTAGCTACGCCCTGCCCCTAACCGACGTTACATGCATTTTCTTGTGGTTTTGGACCAAAATACCGCTTAAACGGGGTTTAAAGCGCGTTTAGCATGCGCGGCGGGCGCCGGGCGTGGCCTGCTCGCTCCTCCCTGCCGCTCGGCGCCAATGGCGGCACAGCCACAAAGTTTTATAGCCGAATGATTTCTAAAGTACACATCGAACAAGGGTTTAGACTTGTAGTTATTGAGTTGGGTTTTTTAAAAGACCGTTTTGAATGTAAATCGAAAAGTTAAGCGGGGTAAAGAGGCTGCCCGCGGTTCTCCAATTAAATTGATAGTTGTTTGTCGAGTGGAAGGCGCGGGCGGCCTCGGTGGGAATGGGACGCACTTTTATCATTTTATTTAAGTACCTAGTCAAAGTAATTCTGCGGTAACTCTCAGTACAAAACGAAAATTGTGCTGTTACGTTTGTGATTTATGGTTGATAATAGTTAATTAATACTGTGGTTAGCTATCTGGCGGCAGTTACACTGCATGGTTGGTTCGGTAGTTGGGCAACTGGCTACCGCGCTACTGTTCCGGGTTCGATTTCCGCACGGAAGAACTCTTTGCGTGATCCACAAATTGTTGTTCCGGGTCTAGGTGTGATGTGTATGTAATAGAGGAAAATCCTAGAATAGGGCAACGTTTTTAAAGGAAAAAATAATGTTTATATTGCAATGCAATGCAATTGTAAGCAAACATATTCATGACCTGTGCTTTACCCGGGCTGGGTTGGGTTTTTTCTTTTGTGTCTCGGTGGACGATTGGTAAAGCGTCATGACTGAATGGTGTACTTTATACGCAGTGATCTATAAATACCTAGTACCACATACTGTTGGGGGATATTTTGGATCAACACCTACATACATTAACGTAAAAATATAATTGATGAAAAACAAATTACATTATATGGGCTAATAAATCTCGAGTGCCCAGCCTTGCGACTAGCTAAGGACTACGCGCTACGTACTACGAGCTACGAATAATGCGCTACGAACTACAGCTATAGTGTTTCGCCGCAACTAAAGCGTAAAATCGGGGTTAGATACCTACTTGACTCTGTATGATATGATTGCATTGTCTTTGTAGTGCATTACACCTCATCTTGTAAATGGCATTGAGTTAAGTAATACAGAACACTTAAATTGTTGTAAGAAAGAGGAAAACGCCTATTCTTTAACTCTCGGACACTCCGTTGCATCTTATCGCTCAAACTGTAACCTTTTGCTAAACCAGCTTCGAAATTATTGTTTTATTACTTATTATATATATAAGTAATAAAACAATAACTTATTATATATATAAGTAATAAAACAATAATTTCGAATATATTTTTTTTAAGTTATTTGAACTTTAAAGTAATTTTATTATTCTGAGTTTTTTGAACGTCTCTTCTCGGAGTAGTCAAGATAATAAATAGTCTCACCTAGTTTTTTTTCATAATGCAAAGGACATTGACAAAAATTACCTATGGACCAACACGCATCAAACATTTACTTCTTTATAAGATACCAGTTTTTTTCAATAATAAACATTACGATAGTTCGTGGGACACTAATGGACACTTTTTAATTTCAAAAATCTTTTAAATTATTTTATCCTTCAATGGTTAGTTCGTTAGTCGTACAATTTTTGGTCCAATTTGAGGTATTTATTAGGCAAAGATATTATCACAGAGTAAGTACACTTTGTTCTTATTTCGTTGGTATTATGGCTCATACAGCCAAGCCTTTGAATTCCACTATTAGATATAGTAGTTTGACACATACAAGCGTCAGAATTCTCAACACGAATATCAAATTAAATACGATAATTAATAATTATTTATACCACGTAATAAAAATAATATTATAGTACTTGAGCTAAGCAAGCTATTGTATTCTATTGTTTTAATGCGATGAGCTGTTTTAGTAACAAACGAAAAAATAAAACGTAGTCCATGTAAAGACGTAGGTATCTACTTTCTTGGCATTGCTTAGTAATAAAGTTGAAGTTATTACGAATGTTTTTATTGACATTAATGTTTGCTTGAAAACTGGAAAATGTTTAGTGTCTTGCCGAATTCTCACTAATGTCCCTTGTTTTAATTTACTTTCTAAAACCCAAAAAGTAAATACACCTGCATAACAGATCTTAGAAAAGCTATTATGGACGACGAGCAATGCTATTTTCTGATCTTTTACGAAAAAGTAAATACAACATTTCATTTCATTACCTTACCTTAACAAACCGTTGCTAAGTTTCAGTAGTTATAAAAGGTTATTTTACTGTTATCTCTAAATAAATAAACTATTTCAGTTAACTAAATGTAACATCTAGCGAGCTTTAGCGTCATCATTATCATCGACATCATAAGACGAAACCTTTCCTGGAGAAAATCGATTAAAGTTGACCATTTCTTTCGATTCGTGATCACTATTCGAATTCTTTCCTGCCCCATCGGCCGTCAGCCCTCTGGAGAAATATGGCACTTCAACTAGCAAATTTTAAAGGCCATGCCGGTGCTTATTCTTTCCGAAAACCCTTAATTTGGATATTATCCGTCAAAATATTTCGAGCGCAGCTCTGTCCATTGCGCGCAGGGCGACACTTTCGAACAAAATTCTTAAAAGACTGTATTACTGATTCTGCAAAGGCTGACCTTCAAAGTTACATCTTCCTAATACTCGTAAGTTAATTAATATTAATGATGCACAGTTGACGTTGAAGGCATGTTGCCCCAAAATATAACATATCGCAAGTGGGATTCGACTATTCCGTAATAGGCAGTAATAACAGCGTATGTTAGTTAAGAAGATATTATATAAAGAGTTGCTCAATTTTCTACATAAACTTTCTTTATGTGGTTGACAATTTAGTTTTTTATTTATTTCCAACCCAAGAAATTAAGAGATCTTTGCTTCCTTTACAATATCAATATTATAATATATGTTATGATGCCTTGTGTGAGGTGTAAGCTAATTAAAATGTATTATTTTCGCTTTATTTATATTCATTATTAAAATATTTTCATCTAACCATTTTATAATCATCATCAGCCTATAAGTGCCCACTGCTGAGCAAATGCCTCTTCTCATACGGAGAAGGTTAGAGCATTGATCACAACGCTTGCTCAATGCGGGTTGGCGATTTCAAACTTGTAATTAAAAATTATAAGTCGTAAGTTTTCCTCACGATGTTTACCTTCACAGTATGTCAGTGGTGTATTATAGAAATACGTATAACTCCGAAAAAGTCACATTGATACTTGCCAGGTTTCGAACCTATGAGGATGTCATGCATGAGAAGCGGGCTCCTTAACCTCCGGGCCATCACGACATTTTTACCATTAAAATACCAGTAAAACCATTTATAATGAAATTGATATAATTGTTAATGTCATTTGCGTATGTATCAATACTGATGCAAGTTATAGTTATAGTGGCATCTTCCACAAATAGAGACAAGGGTACTTTTAGGCATGTTGGTCAATCATTAACATATGCAATAAATAATAACGGGCCCAAGACACTGCCCTGGGGAACACCTTTAACACTACCTTCCGATGAACGCTATTTCTCTTCGTTTTATTGTTAAGATTAATTATCATCAATAAAAATATCATCCATATAGGTACGATTTTATTAGATTAAGGACGTTACCTCTTATGCCATAGGCTTCCAATTTATTCAAAAGGCTATCATGGTGATTATAATCCAAAGCCTGAGTCATATCACAGAATATTACACAGACTGTTATTCGTTTATCCACATAGTTATATATTATATATGTATAGCCATATTGATCGTCTTGCCTTTTTTTAAATCGCTTACTTCTGTAAGCAACATATCTTTTTTCATTATGTTTATAAGCTTAACTAATTCCTTTGTGATCTGACTTTTAATTTCCGAAATTTCTGAATAATACACGGATTTTCTGATGGATACCCGCAACACCGGAAGAGTTAGTGCGTTGCCGGCCTTTTAGGAATCAGTGTTTCGGAATTTTAGAAATCAGGTGAGGGGAAGAAAGATTGGGCCTCCAGTAACCGCACTTACTAGGCGAAACACATCGCTGTGGTTGTATCACGCCGGTTTTCTGTTACTTCGGTCGAGCAGAACCATTAGTGCCGAAATATGGCATTCCCACACTTAAAAAACACATGACAATGATAAGCTTGATAACGTAATAAAACCACGTTTAATTACAAAATAAATTTATTATCGAACGAGACATCATAGTTTAGTTAACATAACGTAATTAGTAGTAACATGATTAGATCAGAGCGGGGAGAACTGCACCATCGTCTTGATATCCTTCACCAGGAGCTCAAAGAAACTGCGCTGCACTTGTGGCTGGTTCTGGAAATTAGGATACATCATCATAATTCTGATCACTATCAACATCATATTCATTATTTTCTTCATCATCAACAATCACTACTCTAAAGATCATTAACGATCTCTTCGTCACCACTATCATCATCATCTTAAACGTTATCATCAATTTCATTAAAATGATCAAAGATACGATCACAGATTCCATCACGGAGTATAATCATATTCATCATCCCTCTTGACGAGAATGCTGTTGATTATAAGATTGATGATGACTATGGGTTCGGTAATGAAGATAATTCGGTGAGGCCGTGTTTAACTCCAGTGAATCCGACCAAGTCGTACCGAAGCATGGTTTCTCGTAATAAAATTGTGCATTCATCATTTTTAAGTTCTCACCTTGGTAGTATCTAGCAGTTGTTCGGTGAACCTGTCGTTGAACACTGCGATGAGTTCCTTGCGAAGTTCGGGCAGGTCATCCCCACTGCCACGCCACGCGCCCGTCGCGTTCAATAGCGCTGTAAACAAAACGGTTTTAGCTAGATCGTGTAATGTAACCAAAGCTGCCAAACATGACGACTGCATGGTTGGCGTAGTGGAAACTTGCTGCTGAACAACTTATCGGGGGTTTGATTTCCGCATCGAACAACATGGAAAAGCGTGAAACAACATTATTATTTTTGCAAATTAACGTCCCCCACACTTGAATTATCCTATACACCTAGATCCGGAACAGCAGTTTGTAAATGACACGAAGTTTCTAATAACAATAATTGTCTTAATGCGAATAGAAATTATAATATTTATATAAGTTAATGACCTAAAAATCTTGAAAACAATGAGCTATCGCAAGTTTTGGCAGTCTATAAAAATTGGTCAATATTTTATTTCTTCAGCAATGTTGTCAAAAAAGTATTGCATACGTACAGTTATCATTATCATCAGTAGGTAGGCCGGCCCGCAGTAGTACCCTAGTATGTGCCCAGAGCAGATGTAGTGCGCAGTCGAGTGCGTGTGCGCAGGCGCCGAGCTCGGCGCGCCGCGTGCGCACGCGCGCCCCCAGCACCGACACCGCGCGACTGCGGCACTCCACCGGGGACAGGGACGATGACTCTTCAGGCAGTAACTTGCGCATGTCTGTGGGAAAATGTATTTTACTAATATACGAGATTTTATTCTTATTCAAATCTTCTGTAACCTATGAATATACCCATATTTACCATTTACCTATTATTCGTTTACGTTTTACTCATTGCCCTTCACCCCTTACCCTGTACATTCCAATTTAAGAATGGGCTAGGACGTAAAACGATTTCAAACTACATTAACTAAGTTCATCATCATATGACAAGTAAAGTGCAAGGCCTCGTTCATAGAGAGACCTTTCTATCATTGAAGAACTAAGGTGAAGCAAGAAGAAGTAAGAAAAGCGAGAAGAAGTAAGTGTTGGTGGTATAGTTACCGTCGAGGCTCATGGTGGGCAGGTTGTGCAGCTGGTGGCGCGTGGTGGCCAGCAGCTTGTCGTGGTGTGCGTGTGCGCGCGCCAGGTGCTGCAGCAGCGCCAGCAGTCGCGCCGCGCCGCCCGCCTCCGCCCCCGCGCCCCCCGCGCCCCCCTCCGCCCCCGCCAGCCCCACGCAACGACCCGACGAGTCGCACATTATGTTGCGCGCGTACGTCAGTAGATTGCATACGATCTAAGATTAAACATTTATCATCATTTTCCTGCCCTTGTCCCGTTTAATTTGGGGTCGGCGCAATATGTTTTTTTTTCTTCCATTCTGTCCTGTCACCCGTCACGCTATCGCTAACTCCTCTGTCTTCCATATCACTTCTCACACAATCCATCCATATTTTCTTTGGTCTCCCTCTCCATCCATCCACATTTATACTCATGGCTTTTTTTGTAACACGAGTTTTATCCCTCCTTTTCACATGGCCATACCAAGACAAACGGTTCCCTTTCAACTTTTTAGTCACTGGCGCCACTTTCAAACTTCCTCTAATATACTCATTTCTCACTTTGTCCATTCTCGTCACACCACACATCCATCTCAGCATTCTCATCTCTGCTACATGCAATCGCTTTTCATCCGTCTTTTTCAGAGCCCAACATTCTGACCCATACAGTAGGACAGGCCTTATCACTGACTTGTAGTTTTTACCCTTCAACCTGAGGGGCATCCGTGGGCCGCAAGTTGTTCAAGTGACCTGTCGCCATTTCATGAATACTGAGTTGATCCGACGTCTCGGTCTATCTCACCATTCCCTTGGATAAGCGACCCAAGGTACCGAAAATCGGAACAGGTTGGTATGGGCGTTCCGGCGAGAGCTATGGGCACAGGACTAGAGAGACCGCCAAAATCGCAGAACAGGTACTCTGTTTTAGTTCAGCTCAATTTTAGGCCAACACTTTCCAGTCTTTGCCACCACACCTCCAATCTGCTCTGGACCTCTAGGGCACTCTCGGCAACCAGCACAATATCATCGGCAAACAGCATACACCAAGGAGCCTCTTCCTGAATGTCCGACGTCAGAGCGTCCATTATTATCAGGAAGAGGTAAGGGCTGAGAGCCGACCCTTGGTGTAAACCGACAGCCACATTGAACTTGTTAGTGGTGCCCGCTGCAGACCGGACTTGTGTACTGCAGCGACTGTACATTGATCGGATCAACTGCACATACTTCCCAGGCACACCTTTCTCCTTAAGGGCCCACCACAGAACCTCACGTGGTACCCGGTCATATGCCTTTTCGAGGTCAACGAATACCATGTGGCAGTTTTTATGTGTATTTTTCGCACAACTGGCGTATAGCAAATATGGCATCCGTTGTACTACGACCAGGCATAAAGCCGAATTGGTTCTGTGAAATTTCACTCTCTTCTCTCAGCCGCCGTTCAATAACTTTCATGGTATGCGACATTAGCTTTATTCCTCTATAATTGTTGCACTCAAGCACATCACCTTTGTTTTTAAAGATGGGCACCAAAGAACTGTTGCACCATTCATCAGGTATGGCTTCTTCCTGCAACAATTTATTGAAGAACAAAGCCAACCACACCCATCCATCTACTCTTAATAACTTCCTCACCTCAACTGGTATTCCATCTGGGCCAATGGCTTTACCATTTTTCATTCCATTCACTGCTACTTTGACTTCCTCCATACTAACCATTCTCACTAACCCCACATTCACTGGTTTATTCTCTAAAACCCCACTCCAATTATTTTCCTCATTCATAAGTCTTTTTAAAATATTACTTCCACCTCTCTTTGATTTTGTCATTATCCGATAGAACCATTCCACTTTCATCTCTTGCACATCTTACCTGGCACACATCCCTCGCCTTTCTTTCCCTCATTCTAAAGAGCCGGTACAGCTCTTTCTGCCCTGCAGGACTGTCTAATGTATCATATAGTTTGTCCTGGGCTTTTGCTTTTGCAATTGCTAAGGCTTTCTTTGCTTTTTTCTTTAAATCATCATACTCACTCTTTCTTTCAGCTTTCAAACTAACATTATATGTTTATACACACTGTCATTCGTTGAATTTTTTCTTCTTTTCTTTCAATCAAATCAAATCAAATTCTTTATTTCAAATAGACCGCAAAAGGCACTTTTGAACGTCAAGCAAAAAAGATATCATAAGGTTTAACTTTATATGTGTCAGTCTGTCCGTCTGTCCTCAAGTGAAGCTATTTGCTCGTTCCAAAGTGTAGATTCCTATGGAGAAGAACGAGCAAGAAACTCCATGGTTACTCTTTTTCAATCACTTTTTACAATGCAGTGTTACATAATTTAGATAGTTCCATTATGTGAGAACAGTGTAACACTAGTGTTTAACCAAAGGATCCGAAAAAGAAATGAACCTCAGGGACAGCAATTTTAGACAGTCTCGAGTTGACCAGTCCCAGTAGGCGGCGTCCGTTCACGAACATGACACCTACACCAGCACCGCCCAACTCAACCATATTATAGGGAACCGAGCGGTCCAGTGCCCGTGCCACCGCCAATGAGACTCCTGAGTGAGCATGACAACTCCCAACTGACACAAGTACCAATATACTATAAGTTTATAAGTCTAACTCAATTATAATAAGTTACAGGGCTCTCACATTTACAAAAATCCAGTTTATCAACAATTAACAACATGGTGATTAATTTAATAATTGAGATCAAAATTCCTCTTAACCTTAACAATTTTAATCCTGTGCAGTCAAACCAGCCACCCTCCAAGCATTTTTATCTTCTATATAATCATTTAGTTTGTAGTATGCTTGCCGACATAATACTTTCTTTATACATAATTTATATAACATTTAACACATAATCCCATGAACGACTTATGCACTTTTGCTAATCTAAATAAAGGCTGACTTAATCTATTTCTATGTCTAGTAAGATAGTCATGTTTGTCAGATACTTTTACAAATAGCTGTAGGTTTTTCCTAACATACATAATGTTTTCATAAATATATTGACATGGTACGGTCATAATGTTGATCTCCTTAAACTTTTCTCTGAGAGATTTGCGACGACCTAAGTTATAGATAGCTCTGACGGCACGCTTTTGTAAGATAAAAGATAAGACTCATTGTCGGATGCCTGTCCCCACAACAGAATTCCATACGACATGATGCTGTGAAAGTAGCTAAAGTACACTAGTCGTGCCGTGCCTACGTCGGTTAACTGACGGATCTTCCAGACAGCATAAGCTGCCGAGCTCAACCGCCCTGCTAGAGATCTAATGTGGGGCCCCCATTGCAGCTTGTCGTCTACAGTAATCCCCAAGAATGTGGTCTCCTTTACAAATTCCAGTTTCTGACCACGTTACTTTTAACATTTGGCAAAATAAATCTAATGGATTTCGTCTTTTTATCATTAAGTACTAAGTTGTTTTTTGTGAACCAATTATGAACTTTCATTAAGGCATTATTCACTTCGTCATAGTTATTTGATCGTCTATTTAATTTAAAAATCAAGGATGTGTCATCAGCGAATAATACCATATGCGGTTCACTTTGGAATAAATGGGGCAGATCATTCACATAAACCAAAAATAGGAATGGATGCAATATTGAGCCCTGCGGTACGCCCATAGATACGCTAGCACCCTGTGAGTTTACTTTATTTACTTGTACTGTAAGTAGTCTTTCTAGAAGGTATGACTTTAATAAATTTAGGGATACTCCCCGAATGCCGTAGTGTTGCAGCTTCAGTAATAGTGTCTCGTGCTCAACACAGTCAAAAGCCTTCGAAAGATCGCAAAATATTCCGATGGCATCCTGTGCTTTTTCCCAATACAATACATTCTGAACTCCTGTCGACCACCACCATGTATCTCTATCTATCCCTTTCCTTTCGTCTCTCCGAAAATATCAAAATATCTCATTCCAGCTTTCATTTATACTTCGATCATTCATGTCTCCTATCTCTATCATTCTATCCACCATTCGCTCTCTGAACTTCTCCGCGCAGTCATTCCTCTCTAGCCTGTGCCATTTTATTCTACGGGGCGGGTGCTCTTTGGTTTTCCTACAATGAATTTGAACCACTGATGTCATAACCAGGAGTCTGTGTTGCGAGACTATCTTCTCCTGGTAGCACTTTGCAATCCATCGCATACTTTAAGTGGTTACGCCGAACTAGAAAGTAATCTATTTGCGTCTTATGATTTCCACTTTTATACATGACCAGGCGTTCATCTTTTTTCTGAAACCACGTATAAGCTACTGCTAGATCAAATGCAGTAGCGGATTGCAACAGTGTCTCTCCTTCATTGTTTGAATCCCCATCCGCCATGTGCTCTTTCAAACATACCTCTCATTCTTCCCACATGTCCATTAAAATCACCTCCCACTATCAACTCTTCATGTACAGGGATGTTCATTAAGGCCGTATCAAAATCCTTCCAAAACTTCACGGTTTCATTACATCCTACGTGTGGTGCATACACTAACTACATTCAACATAACATTCTCTAACATAACTTTCTAAATTTTATGTAACAAGTGAGGGTCCACTTGAACACTCATTTCCACGATCAATAATCTCAAATGACCTGTTTTATCAAAATCATTGCTTTTAGTGGTACCAGTACGGGTAAAGGTATTAGTGAAAGTTTTTACTTCTTACGCACGGTCTGTACTATGCAATCATCACTCAAATGGGATGCACTCTTCATCGTTCATTAAATTTAATTTTGACAAACTCTTGCTTATTTGTCGAAATATCAATAATCAATTGTTTAAAAGTACAAAGACCCTAAAGTGTCATTATTGCATAGTACATTATGATACAAGTGATTGAAGTTGGTGACTACCGGAGAAACGCATTAAAGCCCGAGCCGTGAGGCGAGGGGCTTAAGGAGTCGAGGACGGTAATCGTCAATACACACGTATATCATACGTAGTTATTTAACATACTTCGGAATAAAATAATACTTAAATAAAAAACTTCAAAAGAGAAAACGAGAGAAAAAATGTTTCTTAACACATTCAGTGCCCCCGACGCGTATGTGCGTGCGAGAAAACGCACATACGCGTCGGGGGCACTGAATGTGTTAATGGCGGGAAACATGTATCAGTATATAAGCGCCGGCGCGCGCATCGGCAATATACTAAAAAATTATGTTTCTTTATTGTGGGCTTTTCGCGGATATTATTTTAGCGCAAATGTAAGCGTAACTCAACGAATAAAAAAAAATCTATTACTCACTTGAGAATAATAGTAATGAAAAAGTTACAGTTTGATTATAGTCATGTCATTACTTGTCTGTTTGTCGTGGGATTAGTACCACTTTATGAGAAGGTGTGTTGAAAAACATCTTGCTTACCTTATAGTATAGAAGGTTGGAGTTGTTCTGGTCAGGCAGGTCGGTGGCGGGACGGTGGAACCTGCCGAGCAGGGCCAGCATGAGCCAGCGCACGCGCTGCGCGGCCGCCGCGCTCGCCTGCAGCGCTGTGGGCTCCACCGCCACCGCGCCACCAAACACCTCGCGGTTTGATGCCCGCCCTATCACTGACGTTATGGCTTCCACTTCTATTAGTAGTTCTACTGGAGAGTTCGGGTGTGCTGCTCTGTAAAAACAAATTAAAACTTATTTTACAAACTAGACTAGTACGCAAATGTATCACTCTAATAGATTTTCGACTGAATATTTCTATGAATAATGTTCAAAATCGACTAACGTAAATTGGGAATTGAAGTAGCAGTAGAAAATCTATTCATAAAATCATATCAAGGTATACTTTTATTAGTTGATTTGGCAATTGATTGGCGATATATTAAATTATATTTTTCTTATTAAGTTTTCAGAAATAAGTACTTATGTAATTCGACGAAAAAGACGTCGATATCGTCGTCGGTAGTCGTCGATGACGTCATAGATAGGGTATGAAAGAAAAATTCAAAGAAAAGTAACGTTTCAGACATATTCAATAAAAGTATTACAGTTGACACGTTGAGGACTAACATATTTTGGTACTTATAGGTGAGTAGTGGGTAGAGGTACCTGAGCACGGCGTCGATGCACTCGACGTGGCTGAGCAGAGCGTGCGTGACGTGTAGCACGCAGCTGTGGTTCTGCGGGCCCAGCGTCGTCAGCAGCGCGTCGCATAGCGACAGCGCGGGGACCAGGATCTGACGGAACCTGCCACACCGTACACAACATTCATTATATTGCTAATGATTATATCAATATAAACTATTTTTTTATGTGATAGGTTGGCAAACGAGCTCACGACGTGACGTTACGTGATGATAAGCAATCAACTCTGCCAATGGACACCCGAAACAAAAGAGGAGTTACAAGAACGTTGCCGACTTTTTGGAGATTTAAGGATTGGGGGAGGGTAAGGAAAATTTGGAGAACTAAAGATAGATGCATTATATCAGCGTTAACAAAAACAAAACAACTTGTAATATAGTATTTTTTACTTTTACACAACTGTCAAACAGTATTATAGGTAAATATTACTAAATAATATTCAAATCTGTGCCGACTGCATTAAAATACAATTACGATATTTAAAATGTTGGTATCTTATATACCAACATTTACCAACATTATATTTTATATTTATTTGAAAAGACAAAAGCTAACATTTTAAAGTGTAGTAGGAATTAAGGTTTACCTGTTGGCAACACTGGGCACAAACTCAGTATCCTTGTGCGAGGCGTACCCAGTGTGTATGTCGGGGTGCGCGGCGAGGGCGCTGAGCCCCGCGAGACAGGCCAGCGCGCCCTGCGCCAGCAACGTCTCCGCGCCCGCGCGGGTCCCCGCCAGCTTCAGGAGCAGACCCATCTTCGACTCGTACACGTATAGCACGCGCAGCGACTTCGGGTTTGGTTCTAGAGTCTGTTACAAGGAAGTCCAATTAAATGTGTTTGTTAATTTGCACAAAATGAGGTATAGACATTGGATATGTAATATCAATCGTAATTAAAAGCTGCTACATGGTACTAGCATTAAAAGTAGCACTCACCTCTTTGAGCCCCTCATCGTCTTGCAATAAACTATCGATCAGGCTCCGCAGGTACCCCTGGTTGGTGAGCGTGTTGACCCAGTCAGTCCGCGGGTTGATCTCTATGAGAGTGTCGAGGCACGCCAGCGCCACCATGCGGCAGACGTCGTGCCCCGCCCCGATACAGTCCCCACACACTATCGAGCACAGGTTCTCACCAAAGTCACTGATCACATCTATCACCATCGACTTCAACGCTGATTCTTCCCTGCTAGGCCGAGCTTTAGAACTGTCCAGCCTACTCACGTAAGTAGTGGGCATATTCTCTTCCTCAGGGTCAGCCGGACTAGTCTTCAAATTGACAATATTCAAGTAGTTCAACAATGCTCCATAGAGATTGACCCTCATCTTCTGAGTAGATCCACCAGACACGAGAATCCAGGACAAAATCTTGTGTAAAATGAACTTCAAAGTTAGAGAGTTGGTCTGCATAATCTGGTTTGAGGGGCCGAAGAAGCTCATTTCGAATTCTGAGGATTTTTGGTTGGTCTCTCTTTTTTGTAGGAGATAGCAGTGTCGGAGGTTGACTAGAAGGAGTAGGACTGTTCCGGAGGCCAGGTTGCCGAGTTGTGGCAATACTTCAGCTGGTGGGATCTTGTTAAGCAAGTCCTGTAGGATGTTAAGGAGTAAGTTCTTGCGTGACTCCAGCGGAAGGATGTCGTGTGGCGCCACGCAGAATAATATCTCAGTGAGTTGGCGCCATGAGTCATAGTAGTGCGTCAGCGTCGCCGCTAGGTTGCGCTGTCTGTTCACTTCAGTCACGTAGTCCAGCACCTAAGCGGAGGAGATCCATTGTAGTATAGAGCTTGATCTGTAACATATTTATTAAAATAACCATTCTGCAAAACAAATAATTTACCTTCTGTATTTCGGTAGCGACGAGATTCCTCTGCGGCGCGGTGGCATGCAGTGCAGCTAACTCACGGGTCAGAAGCGCATGCACTCGCGACACACTGATTCGTTTTCCTCCTAAGCCTATAACACACACATAATCTCTATAAGATAAGAGTAGTCATTAATCTCATTTTAAAGAAACAATCCTGAAGCTTGATACTCACAAAAAGACTCAAAATAAGAAATAAAGTTGGGAATGTTTTACCAGTAGGTAGGTCGCAGGACGCTATAGCCTGTCGTAGCTGCTGCGCCTGGAACAGCTCCCAGCGAGGCTCCACCACCGGCTCCACGCTCACCGGCAACTCTTCCAGTGTCCGCCGAAGTAGGCACCATTCCCATTCCTAACAGACAGAAGTATACATTTTCAATCAAAAGACTGATGTAGATAATGGGCTTGTTTCTCCAATAAAATAAATTATTTCAACGTATAAAACTATAAAATACTGAAAACCAATTATACCTTCATTCATTAATTCATTATTTTACGATTTGTTTGATATTTGTATTTTTATTGTTAACTCAAAAGAAATAAGTACATTTGACGTTAAAATATTATGACGTCACAACGTGCTACTTCATACAAGATTCATAGAAAATTGTCGTTATTGACATTTGGATAAAAGTTGGACACTATTGTTAAATCACTCAATCTTGCCTTTGAACAAGATTCTGGTAGGGCAGCGAGCTACATTTGTCCGGCGTCCGAAAATAATGTCGGTACCCAGTCTGAGGATTGGATTTATAAGGAGATCTCGAATGATGTAAGTGGTTGTACCTGCGTGGGATGGTGCGCGGTGTGCGTGAGCGCGGTGAGCAGCGCGGAGAGCGCGGCGTGCTGGCGGCCCGCCGCCGCCGCGCCCGCCTCGCACGCGCATGCGCGCACCACCCACGACCGCGCCGACAGCGACACCACTGACGCATTCTGGAACAAAACATGCCTTTAGCCTTACTCCGATCCCCTGCCAGGCCCAGTGCATCCCACAACAACGACGATGACGCCGTTCCGCAGATTACCGAGATAGATACAATATATACAATAATATATTGAAAAATAACTAAAATTTTATTCATCAATCTTTATTCATGAAATAAATAAGTTAACGCATAAATACTATGACGTCATAACTCAGTGTTTCATACAAATTTCATAGAAAAGTATCGTTTTTCACATTTGGATAGTATTGTTTTTTTTTTGAAAAGTATTGAATTTGACTAGTTGAAAACTACTGTATTGTTAAGATTGGTATAGAATAAGTACAGGACGGTACTAGAGTGCTAAGTGTGAGTTACTTTACCTTAACGCTATCAACATTACCCATTACCATTACTATCAATGTATAGCTCTTTGATTAGTTGGATCCGAGATCAGCGGTGCACCAGCTGAAAGCCAAGAATTGCCGCCCCAGAACCCAACGAGGACTCACCCCATTCTCAAATTGAGGCTCAAATTGGGAATCTTCTTGTCCCGGTTAGTTCTGCAAGCTATGTATATACCCATCCATATGCCATAACAGCTCTTCAATCCTTACCATCCCCATTTTTGTCATCCAAAAGATGGTAAGTAATGAAAGTCGAAGTCCTGTACGTAGGACATAGCTTAATTACTAAAGTTTTAGCAACGAATATCAACTACGATCTTACCTTGAGATCAATAGTAGCCTTGACATGCCTGGACAGGAAGTAGTCCCTGGTCCTCAGGAACCGCAGTATGGGAGCCGAGGTGTTGGGTCGCGCACACAGCCAGTACACCAGCCGGTAGCAACTCTCCACTAGGTTGTTCGCTTCCCTAGACATACAATTACAAACTTTTAACACTTCACCTTAACGTTGATTATGCATTGTCATCTTAATCAAAAAGTTGAAGTTTGTTTATTATTCATAGAAATCCTACTTAATGACGAAAGTTTTGTTCATTTAATGGTTTTTAATTGTTTCCCTTTAGACTGTTGTGTGCTTGATGCAGCCTACTTATGTTCTAATCCTATCCTACTATTATACTAACCTTATAATCCTACTAGCCAGTTATATTATTATAAATGTGAAAGTTTGTCAATATGTTTGCTATTCTTCCACGCACAAACGACTCACACACATAGGTTATATATGTTTAGTGACATATTGGTTATATACACATAGGCTGCTTTTTATCCACATACCACGCGACCCAAGCTGCGGGTGGAAGCTTACTATTCCGCAGAAGCAAAATAACGTAGGAAAAAGGCATGCAGACGATTTGGTGACAATATAGGGTGGGCAAATTTGTTATCTGATTTGGCCAATAGCATTTAAAAGTTTCTATATTTTTAATTGATACTTAATTTATATTAGTGATATATACATTTTGCCCGCAACTTCGTTCGCGTGGAATAGTGACTACCTGCAGGTTTTCTTTTTAAAAACTATCCTATGTCCTTTATCGAGTTCCAAACTAGGTCTGTACTAAATTTCACCCTAGCTTCAGTAGTCTAGGCGTGAAGAAAAGACAGACAGACAGAGTTTCCTTCACATTAATAATATTAGTTTGGATTAGAAATGGAACATTTTAATAATCATTATTACGTATGTATGGTTTATATAGTTACCGGTTGTGCGAGGCGATGTGTTGCTCCAGTATGTCGAGTATGGAGTGTAGGCACGTGCGCGGGTACCCGGCCGCGCCCGCCTCGTTCAGGGAACTGCGACTCACCTTTGTAACAAATGTACTCAGCGTTAATATACATACAAGACAAATTCAAATCATTTATTTTAATTAGACCATTAATTGTAGTCACTTTTGAATGTGAAAAAAATATAAAGATAAAATGTGTAAGTCTGTCGATCTAAGTAGCTATTTACTCATTCTAAAATAAAAATTTACAAGCTCAAAATTTCATTTATTTCAATTAGGCACTTTTGAATGTCGAACAATACTTTAAAGACTGACATTTAATATCTTTACAATTTTATTTGACGTTTAAAAGTGCCTGTATCTGTCTAATTGAAATAAACGTTTTTGACTTTGACTTTTGACTTTAAAGGAATTCTATAATAATTTCATTTAATTTCACGTTTAGAATTTTGTTACATTTGATTTAACTATTGCCATAATTTCCAGAAAAAAATTAGTAATATTTTAGTGTTTTGGAAATTTCATTTATTGAGGAAGACTATATGCTGTAAAACATCACGCTATAGTTAATAGGAGTCTAGCAGCGGCAAGTAATTCTAAGTACATACATCATCGGAGAGATTATATCCGAGCAGGAAGTGCGCGAGGTTGGGAGGCGCCGTGGGCAGTACATGCTGCAGCAGTAGCAGCACGCCCTCCTTGGCCTGCCGCACGTAGTTGCCGCCCTCCGCGCCCTCCACCACGCCCTCGCCGGCCTCGCCCGCGCCCTCCGCCTGCACGCTTGGCTCGCTCCATTCTTCTGCTTCCAAACACTCCACAAAGCCGTATCTGGTAATATATAAGCATGTTAGTTAGTAGTAGTGATAGCGGATGATAGCCTTATAAGGAAAAATATAGGTGTTATTCTTCGGTTGCTTCTAAAACCAAGATCAAACTCATGCACGAAAATGATTGAAGTAAAAGTTTAATGTAGTCAAGTTTCATCGTTCAATTTTTTTTGCATTATTTGCATCGATCACTAATAAAGAACTAGATACACAATCCCATACAAAAGTTCGCTTCAAAACTGTCGCCAACTGTATTTAGGTACTTATACTTGAAATAAACATGCATTAATGTAAATTAAACCTTAAATGCAACTCATAGAGTTGTTTTCACAAAGTGATATACAAAATCTAAACATTTTTTGCATAAATCATAAGAAATTGAACCATATTCGCATGGTTTTAAGTCGAATTTACAATGTGTCAAAAATGAGCAATAAAATTTAACGACTTCGGCTCACCACTAGGACGAAGAATGATTGGAGTCGAAATGTCTCGTAATAAATATATTTCTTTCAATTTTTTTTTGATAATTTATAAAAAAAATACGAAAATTAAAACGCATTACTTATAGTATTCTTTTCTATAGGTTTGTTTATTTATTTACCAATGAAACTAATGCATATAGTTATAATTTTTTTTTATTATTTTCGTCCTCCTTAATCCTTCCTAAATTTGGAATATTTTTCAAAGTATATATGTATACTTTGAAAAATATTCCAAATTCGAAGTCAAATAAAAAAGATGTAAAATAATAAAAAGAATATATATCTAAAGTAAGTACTGAAAATGTTGGCGTTATTGTTGTAAATTTTTCATATCGCAAGGGATTTTGATGAAAGCTAAAAAAAAAATGTCTTTACTGCAGTTAAAATTAAATCCATTATATCTGCCTATTCCATATTTTAAATAAACACAGTAAAGAAATATAATATTAAATAAAAACTATTTTTTAATAAAAAAAAACAATAAATAAAATTAGAAACAATAGCGTCTCCGCTAAACGGAACATAATCAATCCACGTAAACCGAATAACTTAAGTGGTCATGCTAGAGAATGATTTTACGTTTTTTGTACCCCGGTTTTTGAATACGATTTCATTTGGAAAAAGTTTTAAAGTTGATTTCTTAATAAAATATCAATATTTAAAATAGAATGATGACAATTATATAATGATAATATTATTACTTAACGAAAATATGAAATTCCATCCTTTTTTGCGACTTAGATGTGTGTTTTTTGCAGTTTTTAAACGAGCACTGAGGCGTGTTTACCGTCGGAGCATTTGAGTGGTACTAAACTAAAACTACACCGCGATGTTGAGTTTGGTGGACTTTCAGTTAGGACATTTTTTTGTCACTGATTGTGTATCTAGTTCTTTATTAGTGATCGATGATTATTTGCGATTTTTATATGACACAGCAGTACGCTGAGCGTCAAGTGCGGTATTTTAATACAATTGCACAGTACTACTCCTTGTGTGATCCACAAATTGTTGTTCCGGGTCTGGGGATAACCAGACATACACATGACAATGTGTATGTGAAATTGGAGGTTTGTAACCGCACCCACAACACAGGAGAAAATCCTGGATTGGAGCAACATTTTTATAAATCATAAAAAAATTAAATGTTTATGACGTTCAGTGAATTTCACTTTTTTCACGCTTATGGATTTTCGTCAAGTTTTCTAGCCAATCAGAGCGCTATAGGTACGTTGATGATAATGGTAATGGGTAATGTTGATCGCGTTAATGTAAAAATAACTTGCACTAAGCATTCCGTGGCGTGTAATTGGGGAAGCCTATGTCTAACAGTGGAAGAAATCAGGCTGGTGATGAAGCATTCCGTTATAATCCTGTACTGATTCTATGGATGGCAGAAGGTGATCAGTAAGTGGAGGCGTGTGTGGTACCTGATCTCTGCGGCGAGTGCGTGATGGTGCGTGACGGCGGCGGGCGGGCGCAGCGCGCGCAGCAACAGCGCGACCGCGCGCGCCGCCGCACGCGCGCGTGTGCTCACCGCCGACACCACGCGGCAACACGTCACCAGCGGACACGCGCCCTCCGCGCCCTCCGGGGCTGCAACGCGCGACATACACTTACACCAATTATATTATAAGTAAAAAGGTGTAGATAGGTTACAAGCACTCAACAAGTGATACATTCAAATGTGGCTAACTAGCCACACTTTTTCATATTTGTCTCTTGTTCACTCGCGATTATTCAATCATGTCATCCCACTAAAACGCGTATCATACGATTTATTCATGTGTGCCGTTTTTAAAAATCGAATGTTTGTTACGGAACCTATCTATACCATTTTACTTATAATATCATTTCACTCACAAACAAAGTGTGGGACAATAATTTGTCCAAATATAAGGCTTAGTTATAAGAAAACTGAGCAAAATTGAGCAACAAAATTATTACAACTATCACGAAACATACTACGAACATTGAAAAAACTACTTGAATTAACTGAAAAAACTCCTATAAACGATCATCATAAACTAATCGATCTTTTCCAACTTCTTCACATGAAGCACGTCACGAAATGTAAAAGATAAATCACTACATAGTATAATACGAAGTTGCTTTCTATTCGTATACATATACATATGTATGTATGCTTTAATCTTTGAAACTTTGCAACGGATTTTAAGACGAATTATATGTATAATCACATTTATCATTGGAGAAATTGACCAAGTTCAGCGACTTGGTAGTGGAAGTATAATTAAGTACCGAGTATAAGCTTGGAGAGCGGCACGAGCATGAGCGCGCGGCCCGCGTCGGCGGCGGCGGCCAGCAGCGCCCGCTCCAGCCCCAGCGCGCGCTCCACCACCTGCAGGCAGCTCTCCAACGCAAGCTCCGCGAACTCCTGCCGGGCCGTATAGCGTTACTACACGTACTCGCTGCTACCATATCTATTCATCCAGTGCGCACGAGTCTCTTCATTATAATTTCTATCTTCTTATTTAAAGTACCACCCATGATACTACAGCTACGACCCATGCATTATGTAGTAAATTCATAAAAAAAAAATAAGTTACTGTAAGGTCATGGTATCAATCTGGTCGAGTCGACCCATCCATGCTGAAGCTTGCCCCTCCCAATTCACTAAAGTAACAGTAGCCCCATACGCTCGTATACTTACGGTAGCGGGCTGGGGGTGCTTTTCGAGCAAGTCGTGCGCCTCCTCGAGCGTGGTGAGCAGTAGTCGCAGCAGCTCGGACTTGGTGTGCAGCTGCAGCAGCAGGCGGAACCCGGGGGGAGGGTTCGTGTCCGCCTCGCGACCCGGCGCAGGGAAGTCCGACGGGGACGGCTCGTACGCCTCCAGCCAACGCGCGAACAGACGGAAGCAGAGAGACAGCATCTGTCGGCAAATTACGCAAATTACTAACCGATATTAAAGTTTTTGGAACACAGTACTTACTAAGCTATTAAGAAAATAGTCTCGTAATGAATTTTGTCCAAAAATGTAGGGTTTTTGATGTCGACAAACGAGCAAACGGATAACCTGATATGTAAGCAATCAGCGCCGCCCATGGACACCCTCAACTGAGGAGTGACGAGTGCGTTGCCGAGCTTTTAGTTATTAGGGTTTTGGAGGTTTAGAGATTGGGGAGGGATCGGGAGAGGGGAAGGATTGAGCCTCCGGTGATTTTATAACGCCAATCACAATAATATATTGCTTATTGTTTTTCGCACACTAAGATTTTTTCTGTGTCATAGGTGCGTTTAAAAACACAAGTTAGTGTATTCGATACACCCAGACCCTAAGCGAGAATTGGAAAATTAAATGTTAATAGGATTTACCTGCCACTTCTCAGTAGGCTTGGCGTAGGGTCTGTGCGGCGCGGGCAAGGCGAGGCGGTTGAGCACGTGCTCCACGTAGGGGTCGAGCCCCGGCGGCCGCGCGCCCGCCCCCAGCGCGCGGGGCAGCGGGGCCGCCGCGCACAGCGACTCTAGCAGCACTAGGAACGCGCGGGACAACGGGTACTCTTCCATACGACACTCCACCTGTAAACACGACACCAATATATTAACCCATCGATCTATACTAATATTATAAAGCCGAAAAGTTTAATTGAACGCGCTAATCTCCAGTACTACTGTATCAAATTGAATAAATGTGTTTATTAGTACATTTATCGAGAAAGGCTTTAGACTACAAAATATCACGCTACGATTTGTAGGAACCGAGCAGCGAGTGAAACCGTACGACAGAAGCGAGTAGTAGGTATTTGGGATTTCACAATAATGTTTCATTTTGATCATTAATATTGTAAACACATGGGAAACAATGGGAAAAATGAGAAAAAATAAGTAACTGAATGCACAACGCAAAGGAGAATTATTTATCAGTATTTCCACATTCATCAATATGTTTACTTGCTATAAGAATCTGTATCAATTCTGTTTACCTCGTGTAGCTCAGCATTGAGGGCCCTCTTTTCATTGCTGGTGGCGACGAGTTGGGCAGCCTCCAGCGCTGCCCAGACCCTGCCAGCCGTGGCGGGAGTACTGCCCAGCGCTGCTAGTGTCAGGCACAGCTCTGCCTTCAGCTGCAGTGGGATGTGGCAACAGATCAGACCTGCAAGGAATGTAATGTGGGTTAGTGAAGTCAGTGAGTCAGATATGAGGTGAATGAGGACAGGTAATAATGAGATTAGTGAGCAAAGTGAGTGAGTGAGGTTAGTATGCGAGCTGAATGAGCTTGGTGAACAAGTGAGGTACCTTGGCAGGTGCAATGAGTGAAGTAAGTAGGTGAGTCGAATGAGGTCAATGAGTGAGGTGAGCGAGGTTAATGAGTGAGATTACGTATGTGAGATGAGTTAGTGAGTGAGTGAGGTGACTTAGGTGAGTTGGACATACCAAACATGACGTTGACAGCATCCCACTGCAGGTTCTCGCATATAGCTGCGCAGGCAGCGTGGTCCTCACGCGCGACGCTTGCTATTAACTTTAGCGCTGCTATCAGTGCTTCTACCTAGTATACGAAACAATTTATCAATTGCACAATTATTCGGTTATTGTTACATCACTAGTATAACTTATTCCTCAATTTTATAATAGTGAAACATAGATCTGACCTCTTCCTGCCGGACTAGCATTTTCCCGGGTCGCGCAGCTGGTGTCACGATAGCGGACGCGCCCAGTGATGACGCGTGCGCGTGTTCTGAGAACGGTGCTGGGTCTGCACGTAGGTTGCTGAAATATAAATCCTTTGTATGATATTCAATACTGGCTCGGAAACACGTTAAAGCTGCAAACTTGTTTTACGCATTAAGGAGACTAACCTGTGGTATCTGGCGAGTGCAGTGAGCAGATGGTACGCGGAGAGCGCGTCCCGCTTGGCGAGCAGCGCCCAGGTGTGCTTGGGCACGGCCAGGCTGGCCAGCGCGCGCAGGTAGCCCGCCAGCAGCGCGCCGCAGAGCACCTCGCCCGACAGGCGCACGAACTTGTAGAGCGTGGCGGCCCGGCCCGCGCCCCGCGCGCCCCCGCCGCACGCGTCCCAGTACTGGCGCCGCAGCCGCAGCGGGTCGCGCGCGTACAGCCGCTCCACGCAGCGCAGCAGCGCGTCCAGCCGCGTGCGCCCCGCGCCCGCGCCCGCCGGCGCCGCCAGCCCCTCCGCCGCGTACATCGACACCGCGCGCGCCGCCTCGTCCGCCCTGCACCACGCACCACGCATTATTACACACGACATCGAACACAACATAACCCAAAACCCTGAAAGTACTCACTTGACCCTCATCTCCATGAGCTTGGAGTGCATGAGCACAATGAAATCTGTGATGAGTGTGTGAATGCGGCGCTGGTAATACTCCTCCTTCGCCACAAAGTCTGTCGAAAGGATGGCCTCGTCCAGATACTCGAACACCTGTTCCAAAGAAGAATAGTTACAAAAGGGTGGTCACCAATTCATTTTATAACTCATATCTATACTAATATTAATAGCTGTGGAGTTTGTTTGTTTGTCTGAACATGCTAATCTCCGGAATTACAGATTCGAATTGAACAATTTATTTTGTGTTTGTGGGTCCATCTATTGAGGAAGACTATATAGCCTATATTAGGCTAACATTGCGCTACGGTCTTTAAGAGCCGAGAAAGGTGAAACCGCGCGAAATAAGCTAGTACACTATACCTATTAAATTTACAGTTTTCATATATATCCATCCATCAATAGTTCCACTACAGAACAAAATCCTGCATATTTACCTTGCCATCAATAGCAGCATCGACCAGCATTTCATCCTGATCCAGCAATTCACATTTGAGATGAGGAGAGTTAGTCCGCCGCAATAACGACTGTGGCGCCCTCTTCAAGGCCGCGAGTGCTAATCCCAAAGACAGTTGACAAAGGGCCCTGACTCCGGCCCCTCGGCCCTGCTCAGCTGGTGTTCCAGACAGCTCATCCAGTAGCACGGAGATCAGCTCCGGATCTTGGATGAGAGGCAGCTTTTTAGCTAACTCTTCGCCATCTTCACGTCTAAAAAATATGTAATAAAATAGTTAAAAAAAAAGTATGATTTTACATAAACATAAAATATTAAATGTCTTTCAGTTCCTACCTGTGTAATACTGATAAATCCAATGCATACAGTAGAGCCATTTGTAAGGCGAGGGAGATCTCGTCGAGTGCACCGGTTGGACCTTGCGTCGGCGACGTAGTTTGCTGAATAATACAATAGGATTAGAAAATATTGAATGGCAAAATGATTAGCAGTTATATAACCAGTTACTTAAAAGCATACCTCTGCTATAATCCTCAATATGATATCTCTGCTGAGTCCTTTCTGTGCTGAGGCTGCAAACACCACTCCAGCCAGCAGTTTTCTATGACAAAATACAATGATAAAATATATGATGTGCTAAGTTAAACTTAAGCTTATCTTTTTGTTAATATATTCATAAATTCACTAATATTATATATGTAGTGAGATAAATATAATGAAATTAACCACTTTATCCATAATAAAGTCCATTATATTTATCCCACTTTAAATGAATAATGTCAATGGGAAAATGCTTAACCTGCCACCATAATGAGGTAAACTTTACTCACCTAGTAGTCTCAATGGTACTGACGAGAGTAACATGGTGTCTGCCTGGAGGCAGCGCGCGGTTGTTCTGTAGCAGTTCCATCTCCACTTCTAGAGTGAAGCGGCGGAGAGAATCAAGAGCATTGCTTAGCAACCCATCTGATATCAACTGCTCCACGTAGCGGGACACATACGAGATTATCTCTTCGCGAGCATTGATTGACCTGAAATAATTAATTGTTCAATAATTTTGCTAGGAAAATATTCAGATTCCAGATGCTTGCAAATCACTCATAAAACAAAATGCGAAAAGTGCGAAAAGCTAGTTGAGGATACAATTATCCGTTAATTTTTTTTAGTATTAGTCAAATGTTCATGTTAACCCCAAGACATAGGAGAAAACGCCAAAAAATACTTGAGCAGCAATATTTTAAGCTTACCAGCAGACACCATCTCTAGCCATGACAAGTTCCTTAAGGGCCTGTACTAGTGCCCTCCTGCCATCGTAGTAGAGTAGCACGGCCACGAGGCCGCGCGGCAGGCCCGGGTGCCGCGGCGACTGGCGCTGCGCCGTGTGTAGAAGCTCCAGGGCGAGGTACTCGCTTACATTGTACATATCTGCATTACATACAGTATTCATTTGTGATTTTTTTTATTAGTATTTCCAACAGTTAAGCATACACTTACATGCTAATTTAAAACAAATCTAAGTAAACAAGCCTTGTGTCCCTTCAATTATAGGGAACCTCATTACGCAAATAACAATTGCACTTAATTTTTATTTTTATTTTAAAATAAATATTAAAACATTCTAAAAATATAAAAATTGTGAAAATAACATTTACTTGTTATGTAGAATATACACTATGCATGAATTCCAGAGGATCCCTATTTATTGCAAGGGATTAAAAGACACACAGACTAGTGAAATGTGGGTATAAACTTATCTTTCCATTATAATATTCAAATAAAAACAAAATCATTTATCCCAACTAAACCATAAACAAGTACTTTTGAAACATCAAAATAGAATAGTAGCCTGTCAGTCTGTTCATCAGTGAAGTTAGGTGCTTGGTATTGTGTTAAAACTTATAATTTTACAGTTTTAATTTTTTGTCTAATTGGAAGTTTTATTTATTACACTTTTAGCACATGAGAACAATGGAATTTAATAGGATAAAACACAGATGAATAAAAAAACAATATTATTAATATTATAAAGTATTTATATAATAGAAATACAAAAACCTACCTGATATGATGATAGCCTCTTCCACCAGCTCTTTAGAGAGGAGTGTCCTTCCAATACTAGGGAGGGTGACTCCCTCAGTAATGCCTCGTCTAATCTCTTCCCGACTACTGGCATTCTTTGCCTAAAATCATATAAAAATTATGTTTTAAAACTCAGTCACTTTATATTAGACTACATAAAAGTAAATAACTTGGCTTTCAGCTCTGGAATTAATACTCTTTTGTGATGTGCAAGTAAAAAGTTCAATTATAAAAGTATTAAAGCATTTAATTACAATAATAAGGAAAATGCATATATTCTACAAGTTGGTATTATTATACATAAAAGTAAATAAGGAGCCTTGGCTTCCAGCTGTGTGGTTCTCTTTTATAATATGCAAGTAAAAAATTCAATTACAAAATCATATTATTAATCCAATTAATTAACTAATAAGGAAAATTTGTATTTTTTACAAGTTGTTAAATTAATTTTAATATAAAATTTAAGTCTTACAGGGTTTTTGAACAGTGACAGAAAAGTTTGCTTGTGCCGTCTCAGTACTGTTTCAAATGTGTGGACTGCATAGGGGGCACCCTTGCCTTCATGTGCAAGGTAGCCCTCCACCACAGACACCAGCTCCTTGAATGGGGTCCATAGATCATCAGCAGTAGTACCTGTACACAGTAAGTATACATAATTATGCTTAGAATAAGATTTAAATGTGACTTGTGTGTGAGTGTGAACGTGGATCCAAATATTTTCTTCTGACTAACACATCTTCTCACTTATAGGGATTCACTTTACAAAATATCTATACAAACCGATTTAAACTATTTTATTTCTATCACAAGGGAATTGTTTTATAACCTTCAACCAAACAAATTACTATTTAAAGAAGTTTGTTTTTAAAAACCATATTAATACAGACAGGCTTTATTTAGATAACTAGTTTATAAATAACGTATATCTAAAGAATAATGACGTATTACTGGAAGAAAATACAAAGATTTTCAGCAGTACCGCTAAAACCTTTACTTAATAGGTTAGAAAATCAAATATTCACCTTCGTTTATATCCATTGTGTTTTTTGTTCAGTCAGCGTTGGTTTTGAGCCCTAGCTCTATATTCAATAGCAATTTACTATAACATACACAACATGCACACGATTTTTTACGATATTTATCCCGAAATTCTTAAGTTTTTAGTTTATTTAACTGTTTTGAAATAAGCTCAACTGACAACTTGTCACAAGTTACTTGTGTGACAGTTAGTCATAAACTCAGTAGACGCGCGCAACCTCTAGCAAATTGCGTTCGGAAAGTGCAATCGAATATGTAACTCTACATCCTTTTTTGTAATATTCAGCTATTTTAAAACATTTTTAAAATTTGTTTTTAAATCTTCCTATGCTAATGTCACTAATTGCAAATTAAAATAGTTACATACCTATTTTAGGAATAAAATAAGTAGCTTTTCAAAAAATCGTTTAATTCCTCTGAGGTATTACTACTACGCTAGTAATATAGTTCAATGTTCTATACTACTGTTTATTTGATGTTCATAAGTATGATGCCCAATTACATAGATTTTGATTCTCTTGAACTATCTCTGCTTCAAGACACTGAATCACATATTAAGATCCTCAATCTACAATACCATCCAATCTGAGATAAGTATGAAATCTAGATAACAACTTATATGACTCCAATAGGAATAAGAAATCAAACTACAACTTTCATACAACATTTAAGATTTATTTAAATGCTTGTAAAACAGGATTTACAGAACGAGAACATTTCATAACAATAAAAATATTAAAAAATAGTTTTCAAGTACACATAGTTAAAAATGCAGAAAAGCTTTAAATTATTTTTTCAATCTTAGTGAGGTACTCCAAACATTTGTTCCGATAAAATGTATTGTTATAAAAAACAATGCTGTTGTAAAATTCGCCGACATTTGTTGTCTGTACCATAAGGGAGTTTAGTACATCTTTAGTACCATCACCCCTCACTGCATCACACTCAGAATCCACTTGCTCGAGATAATTCAATGCAGACTTGTTCATTAGATTTCTCAACACAATTGTGTTCTGAGATGTAAACCCAATCTTTTCAAAGCATTTCTTAGTAATGATGTACATCACACTGACATTGAAGTGGGACAGCATGCTGATATTCTGGATGAGGAGTGTTTGTCCCACTGCTAACTTGTTCAAAGTTTGCAATAGCATCTTAAAACATCTTTTCTCAAACACATGGTAGCTTTCTGCATGCTCATACTCAGGGAGCATCAGTCTCAAGTGTATCTCCAGTCCATAGTCTCTATCATTATCAATATTTTTACCATCTTTACAAAATATAATTTCTTTAAACTCTTCTTCAGCTAAAATCTGTTGGTATAACTTAAATATAGGTACAAATATAAACTTTGAGCTATTTATTTTCTGTAAAGGACAACCATAAGTAAAGATGAGTTTCAGTTCTGTCTTTTCATCATAAAAGTACATCCATTTCACTTGTTCATTAATTAATATCAGAGGATTAGACAGTACTTCAGCTTGGAGGAATGAATTTAAGTTATTTAATTTTTCTCTAAGAGACATCTTAGTATAGAGTTGCCTCTCTGTGTATGATCCACGATGGTATCTAGGGTTCATGTTAATTTTGTTTTCTTCATGTAAGATCCCTTTCAAAATCTCTTGTTCTATATCTAAGGGCTTCAGATCATATTGCCAGATAAATTCTGTAGCTACTATTCCTCTGATTTTCTTGATATCTCTGTGAAGAGCTATATTCTTCTGCATGAGGTATGCCTTGAGATTATTGTTGATGACTTGGCATTGTATAGAGCAGAAGTAACAAGCACACTCTTCAACCTGTTTAACAAATGTCTCCGGTATTGCTTCAAGAGGGAATAAAGCAAAGTTTCCATAAACATCTGTTCCATATGCAGACTTCAGTGTAGTAAGGTAAACCTCCAAGCTAGCCATGCCCTTATATTTCAGGCATATAGCATAGACCTCAGAGTTGCCTTGTCGTGATGTAACTGGCTTGTAAATGTTCACTTCACTGAACAGATGGTTGACAAGATACAGGAGGCTCACTGTTGAATGTTCGAACAGTGTGAACAGCTTGAAGATTAGTGTGCCACCTGTGAAACATAAAGATATAATGGATAAAACGAATACATATTCAATTCTTCTCTCATGTTCCCAAATTGTGTCACACCAGTACCTGGGCTAAGTGCTTGCAAAGCAGTAATTATCTCACAATAATGGAGAGGTGATGTCACTTCCTCCTGGGCATCAGGTTTTTGCAGGCAATCAATTGACCCATCCGCTGTAACCAGCAGAACCTAAGTTGCATAACAAGAAAACAGAATTTAGCTAGTGATTAAAAATAAATAAATATTACTAATTCCACTTTTAAATCTTCTTATCAATCAATGAGTGTAAAAATACCTTGTAGAAAACAAAATGTATATTACAGGCTAACAACCTTTCCTAAAGATTTGGCCTTCCTGATGATAGCCTGTGAGTTCTCCCAGTCCATGAGGTTCCCAGTGTTGTCAACCCCAAAGTCCCAGTTGTTCAGAGTGTGGAACATGAAGCGGTCATCACTGATCATGTTGGATGGAGAGTTTCCTTCATAATATGGGTTCAGTGTGTTGGCCACCCACTTCCACTGAAAGTACAGATATTAATCACTTATTTGTAATTAATTAAGGTAAAAAGTACTTCATTAGTGGAAATTGAATGTAAAGTAATAAGTACAATGATGTCATGCATCACAAAATGCTATTAATTTGGGTTAATAACAGCTAATGTTAATATTCATAGATATGATAATGTTGTATAAACAGGTGCTCCTTCAAAATGGTTGGTTTGAATTGTTTATATATGCAAACTAATATTAATAGCTGTGTGGCCCTCCCACACTCACTTCTATGTTCTGATGGTTTGACTTCAGATAATGGTTCAGGGATGTGATGAATGCTCCTGGGGCTTCACATAAATGTAGTGACACCATCTTCCTTTCTAGCGTTGCCTCAGCCGGAATAATATTATACGTGCACGCACACTCGTAAAACTTGGTCCATGCCTGTGTAAGGAATTCTGGATTTACGAGACATCTGATCTTCCAACAAACTTCCCCCGCTGGGTTTCTGCGCCGCGTATGACTGCTCCATTCCTCAATATTGAAATCATTCAACTGACTTTTGTGAAAATTTAATCGATTTTTCAAGATCTCTAACTGCTTCACTTTCCAGGGAGGCGTTGAGAACCACGACTCTTTCTCGGGCAATTCCCAGTCGTTGTGGAAACGGAATTGGAACTTTTTATTAAACAAATTATTTAATTCGTCTTGAAAATCATCATTTCCAAAAAATCTCTGACGCGATTGTAAGAAACAACTATCAGTTTTATGAAACATTTTTTTTAACGATATTGAGCTATAAGAAGTTACAAATTCATCAAGAAGCCAACTCAACGTTTTACACGGTACTATACTCCAGAACCAATTTATAATTCAACTCATTTTTAATAATACTGCGTCTTTACTGCGTTTCATTTTATTTTCATGAAGGAAAACAAAATACACAACCAGATTGACGGAAAATTGACGTTAGTCAAGTCAACCAAACCAACTGACAATAAATGTGGTGTGGACGTATTTATTTATTTACAAACAACTTGTCACTTATTAAGTTATTATAGATAAGATTTGGCTTTTTGATTTACCAAAGGGCACTTGAATAACAGTGATAATAAGTACATATATTTCACTTCATGCAAACCCATTTAGCCGAAAATAGCCTGTATAAATCAAATATTTTTTTAATTCAATTTCGTTCGCTGTGTGACTTGTATTTGTTTATGGTCCTATTATTTTTTGTTATCTATGTTGTCAGATTTTCTATTCTCTATTCCTGTCTCCGTAAAATAACAATGAGGTGAATGAACTTTTTTTAGTTTTCTTTTGTGTTTCGTGATTATTATGAATATTTGTTTATTTACCAATTATTGGAGAGTATAAACTGGACATGCAGACCAAATAACAGACTAACGTGAGACTACTTATTTCAGACTGCTTGTAACATCGACTTCATTGACAAACTCGTAGTTACTGATCTAATTTACCGTTAGACTGTGATCATGAATAATTGGAATCAAAGTACCATCCGAAATGACGACCGGAATGACGATAAACCACCTTACTCGAGAATATTCGTAGTCTGTAACAAGCAGTTACGTGTAGAAGACTTGAAGCCGGCCTTCGAGGCATTCGGACAAATAGAAGACATACATATGCCCAGGGATCGTAACACTGGGGAGTCCAAGGGCATCGCATACATTAAGTACACTAAGACATCATCTGCAGCAATGGCAATTAAGGAGATGCACTTAAAAACTATTCAGAATAGTAACAAACCTATACGAGTTATGGTTGCCACTCATAAGAATGACAACCATAATACTAATGAGGACAAGTACAAGCGTCTCTTTATAAAAGTACATAAAGAGGTGACTGAGGGTGAGCTAAGACTACACTTCTCAGCATTTGGTCATGTAGAATCAATTCATCTTCAGAGAGACAAACTTACTGACGAGTGTAGAGGTTTTGCTTATGTCAATTATAACACATTTCTTGATGCAGCCAAGGCATTCGAAGAATGTGATAGGAAATATAAAGCTATATTTGCAACACCTAAAGAAGAACTAAAAAGAAGTAGGAATAGCATTGAAAATTTCACTGAGAATTTTCACTCAAGCAACTCTAGTATTATAAAAGAAAATTTCAGTGACCACTATAGTCAGCCTAGAGGAGAAATAGTCAAAAGAGATAGTTTGACTTCACTGATCAGGACAAAACCTCACAACTATGACACAGTTAGTGTAACATGTAGCCCACAAGTGCCACAGAAGTTTCTAGAAAGATTATTTAACATTATACCAGGAATGACATCTTGTAAATACACTTCTGATTCCTTCAATGGTTATTGCAAGGCCATTATTTCATATGAAGACGAAAAATCTGCTGCTCATGCTGTGGATAGATTAAATAATTTTGAATTTCCTTCGGGAGAGATCATATCTGTAAAACCCAATGATAACCCCTTGAGCAAGGCAGCTAATAATCTATCCAGTATTGTAAACAGCTTTAAAAATGCGATTGACTCAACAAATCCTGACCTTGTACAGCTTGCAGAGGCTATTGCTCAAGCATCAACTTTGATAAAAGAGGCTACTTCAGGTCCCAGAGAATTAAAATTGGAATCTTGTCAATCAGAATTCTGCAGTGTTAGCCTACCTCCACCACAACCACTGGCCAACATAAACAGCAGAGTAGCCCAAAGATGTTTTCTGGTTTTTAAACCACATCCTCCTCCTGTTTCGGTATTGAAAGATGCCTTCTGCCGCTTTGGTGATCTCATAGATGTGTCTACTTTCCCTAACAAAACATTTGGTTTTGCAAAATATGCATCAATAAGAGCTGCTCAGGAAGCCATTAAGACTCTCCATGGGGCCACTTTGTGTGATATTAGGCTGAAGGTACTAGAAGCAGATGAGAGACCATCCAAAGAAGATAAAATTAATGTTGATGATGAGAATGGTATAGATCAATACACTGACCGTAAAAGAATTAAATTACAAGACTCCAGCTCAAGCTGATGACACAACACAAATTATAAGTACAGATCTGATGCAGCTGTTGTAAATGTTGTTAAACTTAGGAAGACAATGATAATTTCAAGCTTTTTTGTTAATTTATATTTTTTTAATTAGGTTCTTATTTATTACTGACTTTACTGAAACAATTTTACACCCTTATGAATCGACTCTTTATTTTGGAATGTAAGACCATATTTGACTATGTACTTTAAAAATTTACTCATTTACAACATACATTATAAATGGATCTCTGTACTTTTACAGATGACATTATTATTTATCTAGGACCAAAAGACCTGAAATTTGGAGTTCTAATCAAATTAATTCATTTCAAAATTAACAATAAATTATACAAACAAAAATACTGACTTTTTATTTGCAATAAGAGATTACTTATTTCATTACTAAAACTAATAATATTAAGATACATGGCCATACAGCCAACACATACATCTTACTTACTAAACTATATCTAGAAAAATCACAATTGAATAAAAATTTCACTGGACCCTAACTTTAACATACAGACATAACATATTCAATGCATTATTTTAGTATAATTGTACAGACTGTAACACAAAAATTACGAAAAAGTATTTAGATGACATACAATTATGGCATTTTTTATTTAAAAAAACAATAATTCCTGAAAAACATTCAATATAACATTTTTGGAGATAAAAACAGTATCAGAGTCATATTAAAAAATGGGTTTAAAACCCTACTCTACCCAAAAGCTGTGCTTTGACAACAAGAAACATAAGAGATCCTTAATAAAAAAGAAACAATATAATTTAAGCTTTGTTTTGCAGCAAATATAAGACTTCATTCAGATCAGAGATCAATTTCTTTATAATATTGTCATACTGCAACTCATAACCATCCTGCCTGCTTTCAGTCCAGTTCTGGTTGCTCTCGCTCAAAGTTTTCTTGGAGTCAACCAACTGAAACATAAACACTATGTAAGATAGATCGAAATTTATACAGATTTTTTTAATGTTTTTTTTAAGCATTTTGTTATCTACTAACCTTAGTAAACATATTAACATCGCTACAAAGCTGCTGCAGTTTAGCTTCAAGTTCCATATTTTTCAATTTCACATCATCATTTTTGTTTAGTTTCATGTTGGCCAAACGTTTGCCAAGCTGATCCAAGCTCTGTGCATACTGATCCAAGTTGAGATCAATCATTCCTGCAGGCCTAGGAGGTTGCTGCTCTAGCGCGATTAAGGACTGCTTTAGACGCTCAGCGTAGCCTTTCAATGAGGAAATTGCTTCATCAATATCAACATCCATATTGTCTTCAGCCATATCTGGCATCAATAATTTAGGAGCCCCGGCTTCCAAGAATTTCGATATGTTCTCATGTCGCATCTCATTATTAGCGGGTTGTTCGTAATTTCCGGGCACTGTAGAGACAGAGTCGTACATAGATTTTATCTCCATCATTATTTTTTGAGAATCTTCCAATTCTCTATCCAAATCATTGGTCATTTTTTCTAGTGCGTTTAATTTTAAGATCGATTGAATGTATTCAGCAAATTCGCCAGGATTAGTTTTCATGTGTTCACCCATCTTCAATCTTTGTAATGTTATTAATATACACTGATCTTTGTTTTAATTTAAGTATACTGTTTTCTTATTATTTCGTTGTTCAGAATTTAGATGCACATAGAAGTTCGATCAATTGAGTGCAGAGCAAAGACAATTATAGAATGACAACATTGACATGACAACTTTAGCTTCAGCTGTGTGACAACTGACAAGCATTTTAACGTTTAGAAATTTATAAAAGATAACATTTATCTAAAGAAATAAATGAGCTCACTCAACATTGCAGTTAACTTGTAGTGTAATCATAAAACTTATGTCATATCTCGGCATCGCATTGTTGTATAGCGTGCCATCGTGCCATTATTAATTTAATATAGAATAATGATTTTAAATTATATTGTCTACATTCATATTTAGTATAATCTGTGACAGTGCCGATGGTTTGTGTTTGCATGACTTAAAAGCCAAGAATATTATATAGAACACTGGATGTTGCCCCTAGAAGAAATTATTGAATCCGAGTTTATTCACCTTTCGTATGTTTTTTATCTCGCTCACACTTGAATAAAATGTTGCCATAATAAAATGACTTTTTACCTTGGTAACTGATCATAAATATATTACCAAAAGAGAGGCACACATATTTTATGTTTATTTCGAAATCCAAATATCAGCCTTAAAAATTTAAACAATTTCAAAGTTATTCATAGTTAATTCAGGCTATTTTAAAGTTGTTTTTTTATTAAAATTATTTTTAAGTTTACCCACTTTTAAACTTTTAACGTGGAGTTCAAAACTTGTAACACTGTTGGGGTAGTATTATCCAGCCTAACGCAACTTAGAAGAAAAATAAAAATGTATGGGCTTGGCACGGCAAATAATGGCACACGGAAGTAGCCGGATATTGCCATCCCACTCCCTCAGTACAGTTCTCTTTCTTTCACTAATCCGTCGGCCATTTTGTTTGAAGTTTTGAACTTTGAATGTCGTTGCTTTTGTAAGTTTATGTTGTTATTTTCATAATTTCATAAATTTACGTATAATTTGTTTAGTTAATTAGTGGTTAGTGCATACGGCTGTGACTAGTTACGTGTTCAAGTAAAATGCCACCAAAAAAACGGTTTCTAACTTGTGAAATCTGCGGAGGACGATCCGGTCGTAAAAATGGCGAGAAAAGGATGTTTATGGCGAAATTTCCTTTGGATGAGGACCGGTAAGCATTAAATGATATAATTTTATTTAATTCTAAGTATAAAAGGCTACAAATACATGTAAATTGATTTTCATGTATTTATTGTGTACTAGTGATGTACCTCAAGTATCGATAGTCACAGACTTATGTGTGGGCTAAACTCCAAAGATCCCTTGATTTATTTATTCTTTCGTGATTTACTTTCCAGACCACACCAAAGAATGATGTTATTAGATGCTGTTGAACAAAGTTGTGACACGACAAACCCAGTAGATTTTAAGAAATTAATGATTAAACGTAGATAAAAATTTATGTATACTGTATTCGTAAAATTTATGCATTTATTATATAAGGAACGCCAGCTGTTTACACAATTTAGAGTTATTCATGTCAGGGACTGTCCATTTTGATTTTTTCCATTTTTCAGGTGCCGGCAGTGGGTGAAAGTTGTTGGCAAAGAAGATTTAGTGTATGTGCCCATAGAACCAATTTACTGAACCAATATATGTATTAAGTATTAGAGTCCACTTAATTTAAATAATTTTAGTTAGGTCCATCACACCGTCCGTATATAACATGAATTTGAATATTATTACAAAAATATATTTTTTAGTTTTTAATATAACACAATGTTTTATTTCAAATCCGAACTTTATCTTAAAGATCGAAACTAAAAATTAAAAAAGTAATATGACCTCGATTTCTATCCTATAAATATTATCGATATCGATACTAAACCTAGTATACAATTACCACAGAACTATTTGGTCTTTTAGGTTGGTACTATTGATTTTGACGGCTGACATCTTTTATTCATTGCAATGTAGGTATTAGAGTGCCGTGTAAATTGATTCCACTGGCTTGTATGGGAGTCCCGTCTCTTAAACGTAGTGGTTACATACTCTTTGGTATTATCCAAAATGGCTACTCTGTCAATTACTTTTCGACTACTCGAAGTGTTTGACTGAAGTATTTCGAGGATTTGTGAATTAATTTAAAGTGCCTTATTATGTATTGCGTAGTCAAAGATTGTACAAGTGTATGGAACCCAACATCAAATGTCATCTTTCACAGGTAAGTCCAGAAATACCATATTTTAAGTTATACATTATCGTTACGTATTTTATGCCAATATTTAAAAAATCTGTAAATATTTACGTTCGAAACGGTGTCACAAATATTTTTCTAGTAATCTTTGTCATCGTTTAGAAATTTATATGCGTAAATCGCATTTAATTATTAAAAAACAGGTACGTTTAGTCTTAGACGTCAAAATTATGTGTTTGTAAACAAAGAGCTAAAGAGTGACCATATTTTTAAGTTAGGTAGATACTTTTTGATTTGTGGAATGGTTGAATTTTATGTAGGCCTCGTTGCTCTTATAATGAGACTAACGTATTATATCTGAGGGTAAAACAGAAAGGTCTTCAAATTTTAATAATTAAAATAGTGTCAAAACTAAGTTTAGAGCTGTCCTGCTATTTTGGTCTAATTACAGTAAATTAAATCAGTCAACTCGGTTAATATACAATTAATTTTATGTTTCAGTTTTCCCAAGGACTCGGAAAAAAGGCAGAAATGGTTGTCTGCTATTAAAAGGGAAGTTTTATGAATCAGCAAAGATTTGTAGCTTACACTTTAAGCCGGAGAATTATGATCCATTAAGACCAAAAAGGCTTTTAAATAGTGCTGTTCTGGTTGATTCTGTACAATTATGCTCCTGTGGTAATAACGTTATGGTAAGCATTTTTTACATTTCACAATGTGCTGCTTACCCATCCAACAACCATGTTGAGAATAATATTTCAAATTACAGGCATGTAAAACGCCATTCAAATGCTTGGTTTCACCTAATGCAATGATACCGACAGAAACTGATACTTGTTCCACAATGTCAGGAAAAGAACACAGCTATTGCGAAAAGGACATACACATCATACAAAATGAAAATATTGTAAGTATTTAACTTATTGTCTAGTATTAAGGTATCTTTTTATCCTTTTCAAAATTTGCTGCTTACATACCTAGCAATCATGTTAACAATAATATTTCAAATTACAGGAAAGTACAACGCCATTCAAGTGCTCGGCTTCATCAAATGAAACAATACCAACGCACAACACACACACTGAAAATATTGTAAGTATTTAATTTATTGTGTAGTATTAGCTTGTACTTATGGCATAGAAGTCAAACCAAACCTTCAACATCCAGGTTAGGTGTTTTTTGGTTTTTTCACGATGTAGTAAGCTCATGATAGACATTGAGACCTTTTGATCATCTTAGTTGTTACTGATTATAATCTTTGTTCCACAGGTAGTTAATGAAAATGAACCGCCAGCGAAACGACGCCGCTTAAAAGATTTTAATGTTCAATGTAAAATTAAATTCACTGCGGGAAAAGTGTTTGGAAAAAAAGAAAAAAAATTACAACAAAAAGTTGCGCGAAATGAACAAAAAATAAAAGATTTGAAGTCGTTAGTAAACATTGTTCGTTTTTTTTGTAAAATTTTATGAACTCATACATAGTTCATAAAATTTTACAAAAAAAAATTCGTGACTTTTGTCATCAATTATTAACTACCGAAAATGAAAAAAAAAATGATCATGATTATTTGTTAATATTAATAGACATTCTGCGTTTACGACCTTTGTGCAGCGTTCAAGGTAGTCCGCTACTCAGATAGTTTGTTTAAGCACTCGGTATCCAAAGGTATACTGCTTCACAGCAAAACTAATAATTTGCAATCAAAATTAGTGTTAGCGGTCCTGGAAAAATGTTATCCATTGTTGCAGGAATTATTTGTGCCTAAACATCCAATCACTGATACTTGTATGGATTTACACGAAACTTTTTATTTTTTTTATGTAATCGGTCGGCAAACGAGCAGACGGATTACCTGATGGTAAGCAATCAGCGCAGCCCATGGACAACCGCACCGGAGGAGTTACGAGTGCGTTGCCGACCTTTTAGGGATTTGGGATTTGAAGATTTAGGGATTGAGGAGGGATTGAGCGAGGGGAAGGATTGGGCCTCCGGTAACCTCACTCACACGGCGAAACACAACGGTGTGGTTGTTTCACGCTGGTTTTCTGCGAGGCCGTGGTATCACTCCGGTCGAGCCGACCCATTCGTGCCGAAGCATGGCTCTCCCACACTTAAAAATAATAAAATATGTTTCGAAACTGAAATAATAAAATATATTTCGAATAGTTTTTTAAAATAAGAATTCATTCTTATCTGAAAACTTATACTCAAAGGCTTTTGGGTGAGATTCGCACTAAAAGGCAAAAATTGCATAAAACTGTTTTATTTTCACACGTGTGATATAAACTTGTGATTTTTATTAATAAAAATGATTTTGCACTGTACTGACTTTTTTTAAATATCCCCGGTACGGTCTGACGGCAACCTACCAACTATTCACCATCCGCTAGCCCGCGCCTATGGTGGCTGAAAAACGAGATCGGGATCCTATCGTCAACACACATGATCTTACATTCGCCCTCTGTCAATATGTATAGACATTTGTTATTACCTATTTAAATAAAAAGGACTTGATACTAGACTTTAAAACGAGGACTTGAAACTGTTTAAGGAAATTTATTGAATGGTTGATATCGTGTGAGAAGTGATATGGAAGACAGAGGAGTTAGCGATAGCGTGACGAGTGACAGGACAGAATGGAAGAAAAAAAACGCATTGCGCCGACCCCAAATAAAACGGGACAAGGGCAGGAAGATGATGATGGTTGATATCGTGGACTGGTAAGGACTTATAAAATCAAATAGGTATTGGCTTTTAGCTGCAAGTAATTTTTAAGCTTAAATGGGAACTTATCAGCTTGACTTGTTTTCAAGGGGTGTTTTTGAAAGAATACCTATCATTATAATTCTTATTGTTTACATACGTAGTATATCTTTTTAATTTGTGTTGCTTACCTGACAATTTTAATATCTTTTCATTTGTATCAAGTTTAATATCTAAAGAAATGATATCTAGATATAGCAGTATTACTGTTAAGTATTAACAGTTGTGTGTATACGTAAGTACTCTTAAGGGTGTATTAAGATAACATGCGCTGCACACGCACAGCATCCGCGCACGCTTTGTGCTCGCCTTAGACCTAAAACATACACAAGCGACGTAAAGCGAAGGCACGGGGCCGGCGCAGCGCAGGCGTTGGACAATTCACAAACATGCGGTAAAAACTCATTAAAACATCTGTTATTCCAAAATCAAAATCGATCTTCGAGGCACCAACCGTTGTTTCCTTATCAGCACAAGAACATAGTTCAAAGCAAAAACCAACAGTTTCTACATTTAAAAAACGTTTCTGGCCATGAAATGTTGACAAATAATTTTTATAATTTTTATGTAATGCCAATAAACATCCTAAGGTACCCTCAACGCATACGGTATGTTGGTGGCATGACGTAGTTTTCTCCATCAACGCAAATGGTGCGTTGGTAGCAACGAATGGGATAAGGAATACATACGACAGACAGACAAACATTTTAGCCATTGTAGTTATCGACTACCAACCCCTGATAGTTATTTTGAAAATATATTTAATGTACAGAATTGACTTCTCTACAGATTTACAATTATATGTATGTATAGATTACTAAACCAAAACTAATACGATCGAAAACCACACTAAAATAGAAATGTTGAATTTAAACAATCATAAATATGTACAAAATATCCTAAAGCTAGTAAAAATAGTTGTCACCCTGATGAAAGAGATGCAAAACATAAATGACGTGTTTCAAGGTCATTTTATTAGTCCTCAGTTCTTTTTTCTTGGTGCAACATCCAGTGTACTTTATAATATTCTTGCTTAAAAGCCATTGACATAGGAAATATATGGACTTGAAATACCTACGAAAAGAAGGTGCCTACCTACAATCCAAAATGTCGCATAAGATGGCTGCCGTTGCTAGGGTTGTGCCGACTAAGTATTTAACGAGTATCGATACAATTTGAGTAAAAGTTCTACGTAGGTATAGTTTTAGGGATTAGCCAGCTGATTAACGGTATTTTTTTATGGGAAATCATCTAATGTCATCTCCGGCCTTTTTCGGGACAGACCGTTACTGACTAAAATCAACTCCTGTTCCTACTTTGCCGTCGGCCTAGCTAGAACCCGGAACCCGGGGTTAACTTGGTCTCTTGATTGACTAATGATTTTCTCAAGTCGAATTTGTATTCATATAATTCTAGGTAAAGCGTCTTTTAAAAAAATAGGACTGTGTTTATGAACAGCGTTTAATGGAATGGTGAAATAGAAAAAGATAGTGTTTGTTAAATGTTTATCTTTATATATGTGGAAAACCTGTGGGTATTTGTGAAGTGCTCGCGCACAATTTCGGCGCGTCTGATTAAGCGATGATATCTTCGAAACTACGTTAGCACAAAATAGATATGTAGTGAAGTCAATCTTATTGTATGTATCTCACTTTTTATTATTACGCTTGGTGGTCGCACTGGGATTGTCGCCAACGCCGCTCTGTCAATCGCGCCCGTATAATTATAAAACATGATAATTTGAACTTCTACTTATGTAACTAAAACCAATACCAAAATACTGACGTCTTACTTTAGCGTTACACAAAACTGCGGAAACATCCATTGTTAAAAAGGATTATTTAGTATAATATATGTTGAATTTTAAATGGGAGATTATATCGATACTTTTGTGAAATGGTACGTAACTATGCCATATTGACATATTATTGTAAACAACAATTTTTTACTTAAACTGTCTCACAGACAGAAATAAAAGTAAATATATATACTTTGGCAATAGATTAAAGTATCAGTTACATTTTTTTCTATCTATGTGGATTATTCTAAGTAATATTTGATGAAAACTGTTTACTAACCTATACAAAGACAATTGAGGTTGATTTTCGTTCTTTTTTGTACCACACTGCACAATACAACACACAGGCATATTGTTTTTTTGTTTCACTATATATATTTGAAGTTTAAAAAAATGGTTCTTTGTAATTTACTGAAAAACCGCAATAATTTAAAACATAAACAACCGTTTGACAGGACAACTACCATGAAACTCAGGTACTCTGAGCGCTTAAGATGGCGGACATGGCACTTACCTACAACTTTGCTAATGTCAAAATGATTTGTTTCCATATTAAGCAACAACTTAAATATTGTTGTCTCTTTTGTCTAATACAATTATTGCCTTAGAAAGAGTGAGAAAAAATGATATTTCATAGTTTGTTTCATATTTCCCTCATATTTGTATAAGCATGTATACTTCTATAGTAACACGGCGCCTCTATATATTTTCTATCTCAATGTTAAAAGCAAAGAGTATGTAACCACTACGTTTAGTTAAAAGCAAGAATATTATTTTTTTTTTTTTGGAGTTTATGGCCTGGATACGAGTCCTTTAAGCCAATCAAGAATATTATATAGAACACTGGATGTTGCCCCTACAAGAAATTATTGAATCCAAGTTTATTCACCTTTCGTATGTTTTTTATCTCGCTCACACTTGAATAAAATGTTGCCATAATAAAATGACTTTTTACCTTGGTAACTGATCATAAATATATGACCAAAAGAGAGGCACACATATTTTATGTTTATTTTGAAATCCAAATATCAGCCTTAAAAATTTAAACAATTTAAAAGTTATTCATAGTTTATTCAGGCTATTTTAAAGTTGTTTTTTTATTAAAATTACTTTTAAGTTTACCCACTTTTAAACTTTTAACGTGGAGTTCAAAACTTGTAACACTGTTGGGGTAGTATTATCCAAAATGGACTTTTTGGCGGGAGTTCAAATATAGCGCATGAAAAGTTTTTTCATTTGTGATTTTTTTTGAATCTAATACTTTATTTCATTGTAAATTGCATGTAAATAGTAAAGTGTACATAATAGAGTGTATTAAACATGGATGTTGGCGAGGGCGGGGGCCCAAAACCCCCGGCCCCAAAAAAACATAAACTTAAAGACTTTGACGATGGCGGCGGGGGTAAGGAAAGTGATTTTTTACCCTATCTAAAACCCGGATACAAAAGACTTTATCCAGAAAATTCTTCAAATTTGGAGTTCAAAGTTTACGTGCAGGGTGAAAAAATTGGCAATAAAAGTCCAACCTTTTTAAATCATATATTTGTAAATGAGGTAAAAGGTGTAGTAGCGATTCGTAGAATCAATGCTAACAAGATTGCGGTGGTGTTCAAGCAGTATAATACTGCTAATAATTTTATAAGTAACTCTTCATTTCTGGAGAAGTACAACTTTAAGGCGTTCATACCAGCGGCAGACATAGAAAGAACAGGAATTATCCGATACGTACCCACAAACTTATCTAACAAGGAGCTTTACTCAAAGCTAGAGTCGGAGTACGAAATAATTGCAGTCCGACGATTCACCAAAAAGGTTGGACAAGAACGGGTACCACTTCATACAGTGAGCATTACCTTTCTGTCCAGTTCTTTACCACAAAATGTACAATATGACTTATTCTCTTACCGCATTTTTGACTATATCCCTCCTCTACAACAATGTTACCGTTGCTTCAAATTTAACCACTCAGCCAAAATATGTAATGGCAAACAAAAATGTAGCATTTGTGCTGGGGACCACTCATATAGAGAGTGTGATAACCCCTTCAATCTGCTGTGCTAATTGCGGTGGACCACATTTAGCAATTTCAAAGGCATGCGAAATCAAGTTAAAAAAGATAATGGAAAAAAAGGAACGTATTACTTACGCTAGTAAGGCTGAAACTAAACTTAATGTGACTCAGGGAGATTTCCCACCATTGCGCAAACCAAGACCTCAGGTCAATGTAAATAAAAATTCTGTTGTAAATAAAAATGTAAATTCTGCACCTATAAATAATGTACCTGTAAATACTGAACCTAAAATAATTTCTGTTGCTGATGTCAAGGCTCAACTCCTGGCAAATAATGACTTACTTAAGGCCATTGTTCGCACACTCATTGTAATCGCCAATAAGGGCAATGATGATCCTCCAATCAATACAACAACTATTAAAGATATTCTACTGGAGAATCTTACATAATGGATATAGACTCCAATATACAATCTCAGCTATGCATTGCTCAGTTTAATATACAAAGTGTATACAGTAAAAAGCCCTTACTCTTAAAGTTTCTTAATGATAAAAATATTGATATTTGCCTTTTAAATGAAACGTGGATTAAAGATAACAAACCTTTCCACATTCCTGAATATAATATACATTTCAAAAATGCAGCTAATGAACATGGGGGAATAGCTATCCTCATAAAACATAATTTAAAGTATACAACTTTACAAACCACATTTTATGAAGATGTACAAACTGTTGCAATTTCTCTTTCTACAGAGTTAGGTGACTTATCTATTTTGACTGTGTATTGTCCACCACACAGTGGCCATACTAGATTAAACAAATTGAGAAATATCATAAAAGAACTGCCCAAGCCAGTGTTCATTTCAGGAGACTTTAATGCTCATCATATTGCTTTTGGCTGTGTAAGCACCAAGGGCAGAGGGCAGCAACTATATGATATAATTGATGAGTTGGATCTATGCTTGTTGAATGATGGCAGTTTCACAACAAATAATCGGCCTAATTGTAACCCATCAGCTATTGATATCACTTTTACAAGTGCAGTTTTAGCACCACTGTGTGATTGGACTGTACATGATGACAGTATGGGTAGTTATCATTTCCCTACAATTACAAATCTTACTTTAGCTGTTAATAAATATCAAACAAATCCTCCAATAGAGAAATTTTTATACAAAAAAGCAGATTGGGTGAAGTACTGTGAAATATCTGAAACTTTATTTAATGATATCAATGTGGATACTGAGAACCCTTTGAAGTCATATAATACCTTCTGTAATAGACTGAGCTCTTTGAAGTTACTTTGCATCCCAAAGTATACCAAGACTAGTTCATATAGAAGTAGGCCACCAGCGCCATGGTGGAATGAGAAGTGCGAACAAAGCGTTATTAAGTCTTATCAAGCTTTAAAATACTATAGAAGTAATCCTACAATGGATAACTACATTATATATAAGAAGTTAGACGCCTTGAAAAAGCGAATCACATCTGAAGAAAAGAAAAATGGTTGGCGCAATCTCTGTGAGTCTTTTAATAGAAATACTCCTATCAGTAAGATTTGGAACTATATTAAAATGTTTAAGGGTAGGAAAACTCATAATAAATCACTTTCTGATGAATTTGTTTTGCCATTCTTAGATAAACTATCAGATAATGGATCTGATGGTATAGTTGATGTTGATATGTATTTTAATATTAATAATGATAATAATGACACACAGTTTTTAATTGAACCTTTTACATGGCATGAGTTTAATATGAGTCTTCATTCCCGAAAAAATTCTGCGCCTGGATTGGACAACTTTCCTTATATTTTGATAAAACATTTACATATATTGGTGCAAAAATTGTTTCTGAATATTCTTAATGCACTTTGGCTCCATCAAGTAATTCCACTGTCTTGGAAAACGCAATGTGTGATACCAGTGCTTAAACCAGATAAACCAGTCAATGATGCTAACTCATATCGACCTATTTCATTATCATCCTGTCTTGGAAAAATTTTTGAGAACATGGTTAAGATTCGTCTTGATTGGTATGTGGAATCGAAGTGCATTATCCCAACTATTCAATTTGGCTTCAGAAGAGGCAGAAGTTGTGCAGACAGCTTTGTTTCTCTTATCTCAGATCTGAAAAGAGCAAGAAATAATAATGCTAGTGCAGTATGTACCTTTTTAGATGTACAGGGGGCATTTGATAATGTGCAACCTGGTATTTTGATTAAAATTCTGTCTGATTTAGGTATTCCAGGAAAATTTTGTAAATGGATATACTCTTTCTTAAATGAAAGAATACTATATGTAAAACACAATAATATTTTACATGGTCCTAGGCAAGTGTCAAAAGGAACAATGCAAGGGGCAACTTTGTCCCCATTGTTATATAATATATATACATCTCAAATTTGTAAATATGTAAATATGGATAATGTAAATATTTTGCAGTTTGCTGATGACCTTGTTGTATATAGTGTACATAATGATATTGATTTGGCAATTGCTAATATTAATAATGCTCTTAGTCAATTATATCACTACTACAACAATAAACTTCGATTAAATATCAATCCCAACAAAAGTAATGTAATGTTTATAACAAAAGATTTACCTAGCTTGTCTGTGTTATACAATGATAAAGCAATTCCTATAGTAAGCAGTCATAAATTTTTAGGTGTACAAATTGATAATAAACTGACATTCCAAGGTCATATCAAGTACATTTTACAAAATTCTTTGAAAGGCTTAAATATCATGAGGTGTTTGGCAGGAGTCTCCTGGGGAGCTGACCCAGTTACTCTTGCTATTTTGTACAAAGCCATTGTAAGAAGCCATTTTGATTACAGTTGTCTAGCCTATATTGATTGTAATTATGTACATAGATTAGATATAGCACAAAACAAAGGTCTGAGGATAATATCTGGTGCCATGTGCTCAACTCCCATCCGTGCCATGGAAGTTGAGACAGGGGTGATGCCCCTTAGTATAAGAAGATATCTACTTGCTCAAAGATTTTCTTTAAAGCTATTTGCAGCTAATAATAATGAAGTTTTAAGAAGAATTTTACCTCAGTATCCAGTAGTTCACAATGTGTCTGGTGTGACTGGGGCTGGCCTTCACTGTCATATTATCCCAGATTTATCTCAGGTTATCCTGGAAGCACATTTTAAATTTTCAAATATAATTAAAAGTTCTCATTGGGCATGTTACTCCACAAAGTACAAGATATTGTTATTTGAAGTCTCAATTATAAATACAGTAGTTAGTAATAATGAGGAGTTATTAAACTTTATTCACCTTAACAGTCACTATTATAGACTTTATACCGATGGCAGTAAGGGTTTGTCTCATGTTCGCAGTGCTGTTTATGATCCTCAAATTCAGTTTTGTCAAAGCTTTGAGCTTAGTCTTTTATGTAGCATATTCACTGCAGAGGCTTATGCAGTTCTTGAGGCCCTGAAAAAAATTTCATCAATGCATCACACAACCTATTTAATTTTGACTGACTCTTTAAGTGTGATTAAAGCATTAGAGAATATTAATTTTCATTTCAAAACAAATTATCTTTTAATTAAGATTCGAGAAGTTTTATTTGATTTAAAAAATAAAGGCATTTCAGTTTCTTTTATGTGGATCCCTTCACATAAAGGGATTACTGGCAATGAAATCGCTGATAGAGCTGCATTTGATGGGATAAATTGTATAAATGTATCTAATATTGTAAAGGTACCTTTTACGGACTGCTATGCACTGATTAGAGAAAACATAAAACATGTATGGAAAGACTTCTGGAAGAAAGACCAAGAAGAAAAAGGAAAGTGGTACGGTACTATTCAATCGGACTTACCTGTGAGACCGTGGTATGACCAAAAGCAATACAAGTACGCCAGTCGAGATTTTATATCTACTATATGCAGGCTTCGATTCGGACATCATAGAACACCCGCACACCTTGCAAGACTCAAACTCGATACAAATGACAAGTGCTTGAATTGTAACGTCTTATGTGACATTAGTCACATAGTGTTGGTATGCAGTGACTACAACATGCAAAGGTTGATTTTAGCCAGTGAACTAAGTGAAATTGTAGATAATGTTTCCTCCCGCCGCCTAGAAGATCTACTACGTGATCCAAAGTGTTTAGTGCCGTTATACAATTTCATTAAAAATACTCTGGAAAGTATATAATAACATAAAACCGAGTAAATTAAAAGACTTGGCTTAAAGGACTCGTATCCAGGCCATAAACTCCAAAAAAAAAAAAATTATCCAAAATGGCTACTCTGTCAATTACTTTTCGACTACTCGAAGTGTTTGACTGAAGTATTTCGAGGATTTGTGAATTAATTTAAAGTGCCTTATTATGTATTGCGTAGTCAAAGATTGTACAAGTGTATGGAACAACATGAAATGTCATCTTTCACAGGTAAGTCCAGAAATACCATATTTTAAGTTATACATTATCGTTACCTATTTTATGCCAATATTTAAAAAATCTGTAAATATTTACGTTCGAAACGGTGTCACAAACATTTATCTAGTAATCTTTGTCATCGTTTAGAAATTTATATGTGTAAATCGCATTTAATTATTAAAAAACAGGTACGTTTAGTCTTAGACGTCAAAATTGTATGTTTGTAAACAAAGAGCTAAAGAGTGACCATATTTTTTAAGTTAGGTAGATACTTTTTGGTTTGTGGAATGGTTGAATTTTATGTAGGCCTCGTTGCTCTTATAATGAGACTAACGTATTATATCTGAGGGTAAAACAGAAAGGTCTTCAAATTTTAATAATTAAAAGAGTGTTGAAACTAAGGTTAGAGAGGTCCTGCTATTTTGCTCTAATTACAGTAAATTAAATCAGTCAACTTGGTTAATATACAATTAATTTTATGTTTCAGTTTTCCCAAGGACTCGGAAAAAAGGCAGAAATGGTGGTCTGTTATACCATTAAAAGGGAAGTTTTATGAATCAGCAAAGATTTGTAGCTTACACTTTAAGCCGGAGAATTATGATCCATTAAGACCAAAAAGGCTTTTAAATAGTGCTGT